TGCGGGAGACTTTCTTCTGTTCTGTAATGTAAACCACATTCTCCGTTTGGTATAACCGTTAAATAAGCCTTAAGTAATGTTGGTGAACCCATTCCAGCTAAAGTGACATTGCAGTTATAGAATATACATATATATAAATGCATGCAATAGATTTTGAAAATTCAAGATGGAGAAGGTTCATAATGGGCCATCTGTTTATTACATTTGGCTAAATTTAAGATGTTTTACCGAATTCTGTGTGCCCGTAGCCAACTGCCGTTACATTGACATCATTCAAAGAGTATATGCCCCATAAGCAAATCGTATTTTCCGAAGCTGAATCTTTCAGTTTAATTAACGCAATGTCATGATAGCTCTCGTTTGCTTTATAGCCAGGATGAAAAATGATTTCATCGATTTTTACTGGCTTTGAAGAGGTATCGTTTAAATTCGAGCCTCCAAGTAACGCCACGGCAGGAGGTGCCCTGAAAATTAAACGGGTTACCTTCATACTTTTTATAGAAATATTCAGCTTGTATGGAAATCGAGCTCTGTGAATAGTGCTTGAAGTGACTACATTTATTTAGTTAATTCAATCAAAAAAAAATCTCCCAAGCATTATGACCTCCACAGATTTAATATTTTTTGGAATGGAGTGTGCGAAATGTTCCATTAATGACAGTACCAACGGAAAAAAAAAGAAGTGTAAATAATGTACTGACCCATTCAAAAGCCCACAATGAGCTGCCGTCAAAATGTATTTATCGGATATTAAAACCCCACCGCACTTATAATCGTATGCATTTTCTCCGAATAACATGTTCCAACCTAGGGCCGCCTAAAGCAAATGGTTTATCGATTTAAATGTTACATTTATTTTCATTTGATTGTTTCACAAACCATATATGAAAATTCACCAAGATATGTGTATAAGCCTCGCAAGACGTAAGGAACGTGGATATTAGTGCCGCTCCTTTTCAAGAAGTTTGTATTGACCGGAATTTCTCCTTCACATGCTTTCGTTAAATAAGAAAAACAGATTATCTATCTTAGATGTTAACGTCAATTATTTACCTCTTGTTATAGGTCTATTCGTGACATCAGACCAAAGGTTATTTTTGCAACAAACAAACTGTTCAAATTGTTCGTAATAGCAGACAGTTATATTTTTAGCCGTTATTGCTCTTGGACAATATTTCAGATTGCGACAAGTACCGTCAGAGCCATCAGGTAAACTGCATTCCGTGGGGAAGTCATCGATTTGTGGAAAGATTATATTGGATGTGACTAAAGCATTTAAAATATATTTAAAAAAAAAAAAGATTTACATTTCAGTTTGCAAGTCGTCTAAGCTAATTTATCATAAGGTCGAAACATTTTAGATTTCACTCAGATTGTTACATTTTACATATAAACAGTTAGCTTGACTTTTTTCTGAAAAGCCAATATTCAAATAATAAAGTTACTTACGACATTCATCGAAATTAAAAATTTCGGTTAATAATATAAGCGTAAATATTTTAAATGACATATCGTTTTAATATTAATACAGACCAAATCCACAGAGAGTCTAAAGCCGAGCTTGGAAGAATTTAATTTTTTTTGGAAAAAGGTAACTAGTGTTCTATATTAAATGACTAGACTTTAATTAGTTTTAATACGTTTCCTTGCTTAATGCTGTTTATATTTAATTCACTTTTTTAAGGGGATTTTTCCGACCTACTTTTTCGAAACGTTATTATCAAAATCTTTTAAAAGATGTGTCTTATCAATTTCATTTTCAATTCTGAAATGATTGACGCGTCGTTGTCACTGTTTGTTCGACTGTTCAACTTGTTCTATTACTGATAAAGATTAAGCGAATAATTGGACAAAAATAGTGATATTTAAACAAGTGCTCTCTTCTTTTTCTCTCATTGTTTCTTATATCAATTCAACCAGAGGAGAGAATGATCTCCTAAGTGTGTTAAGTAATATTGAGTTTATTGAGTCTAATGGCAGGGCCAGCGTTGGTTAAACATAATTCTCGTCTTATTTCTTATCAATCATGTAAGCAGGAGACAATTATGTATAATCATGTTAGCAAACTTGCTGGTGATTGTCGCCAAATGCGCTGTCCAACTTATGTCAAAGCTCTCGACAATAAAATTGCTGCAATTAACTTTTTCTGCTATAGAAAACCTAAAAATTTAAACACTGGATGTAACTTCCTTACTCTTTTTAATTGTTAAATTCTACATCACTTTCTATTCACTTCATTTTGTAGGCTTGTAATTTACCACATGTCGTTTATTTATGCAAAGCAGATAAACGTCAACTGGGCTCTCATTCTTTACGTTTCCCTCAGTTATTAATGCGTCGTAATGGAAAATTTGAAGGGAAGTGTTGGAAAGCCGGCGACGTTGGTACCTGATTAGCCTCCTGGCGATACTCAATTGTCTCCTAACAAAAGCCAGGCAATAATCATAACGATGATCGCCTGCTTACATGATTACTGCCCTGAAATTGGCAGGTGTTTATGTATGTAACGGATACATTAAAAACAGGGCTGTTTAAAAAAAAAATTTATAAATTCATTTTTGTAATATAAAAGCAGAACATTACATGCAACTGCGGATGATCCCAGTTTTTAGTCTGTGTATTAGAGATTCCCTATGGTTCGACTAAAAAAAGCTCGAGACGTATTATGATGAATAACTCTGATCGTGTGGTTATGTCTTGCTTACCTCGCTCGGCTTGAGCACGCTAAGACTATCGAATTTATTCTTCAACAAACTATTTACCTAAGAAAAATGTAGAAAATCTTTGACTCGTATACTATTCTCTTATCCATACTTCTGTCTAAGTGTCGTTAATATAAACATTTGCAAAAATAGCATTAGTCCTAAATTAGCATAAAGTAACATTTAATTAGGCTACCAAGAATTGCAATTCGACGCTTTCGAAATGGCACACTTCAATGGACATACGATATCTGGCCACAGTGTACTTTTCTTTAAAAAATAAGTAAGAAAACTAGATTCGGTTATGAGAGAATCTTTCATAATCCCCTCCTTCTTCGTAAAAAAAGAAACAAAAAATTAAATGTTCATACTTCATAATATTGGCGGGGCATGTTGACAGCACATATATGGAAAATGTTGTCCTTTGTCCATTATGGGTTATGAGTTAAGAAACTCTTAGCTTATGCTGCACTGCAGTCGTGTCCGTTAATCGATGCGACCCATTGTCCCCATACCCGGGTAAGAACTTCTAACACTTTGTTAAATTTGAAGGCGGAAGGGCGAATGTTTAACGCAGAAATTACACCAATTAACAAAAGAGAAGCGGATAAGCTTAGCTTGGTACATTCCGAGTTTGACATATGACAAAAGCATATAGACCTTAAGAGGTTTCTAAATCTTTCTTACGATCTACTACAAAGGTAGATGGGTTTAGTCGATTTTTTCGAAAATACAGTCCAGGGGGATATTTTCACTGACCCTTATTGTTTGTGGTAGCTTAAGAAATATAGATAGTCGCTGATTGTGTTCTTCACATACATCGCACGAAATTCGTTTGTTCATGTTTTCATCCGTTTGCATGATTGCATTATTTTCCTATTTTATGCCTCTCAAGTTGAAACCAGCTTCTTTATGCGTTCCTCTATTATAGCGGTTTAAATGTGCAATATTGCATGCATACGGAAATATGCAAATGGCCGAATTTATACTTCTATAAAATTAACTTTATTGACGGTGCAAATTAAACTGCAGGCGCCTATAAAATCATTTATTATGTTTAATTTGGATTATACACAAAACGATCTTTGCGGCGACGGTAAAATCTCTACTAACATGGAAGCAGAATTCGTAGCGAGGTTATTAAAAACTATAGATGTGTCATTACTCCGTACGCTCAACATCGTCAAACATTAAATACTGCCATAAAGTAAGAATATAATGTTATTACTTTCTCATAGCTCTCACCAAAAATACGTATAAACATAATTCCTCAAGTCATTCTGGCAAACTTTCAATGGTGAATTTCTAAAGACCCTAGAAACTAACACAAAAGTGTTTCACATATATCTTTGGTATAACTTGACATCCACTTTGAAAATGCGTGCGATTCATCCCTTAAATTTTTTAATATCAATCAATTTTTCCATCAATAAATTAAGGTGGATAGCAGATATCTGTTTCAAAAAAAAAGCCTTCCCAAGAATATGATATAGAAAGAGTGTCAGTAACGACGATACGTGAAATCAACACGAATTGATTTGATTCTGTGCCATATATCCTCTAGATCGACTTTGTAAATTTGGCAATTGCACCATGTCGAAATGCAAAGTTTCTTAATGTCCACTTGTTGTACAATGGCACATTCTGTTTGTGCGTGTGTACACTAAACCCAGAAGTACTTTGGATAGAGTCCCATTTTAACATATCGACAGATTTCCGAATCGTTTTAAGTTTGTCTGTCCATCCGAAGTCTGTCTATGTATTATTGCGTTCCGCTTGGTCGCAACTTCTGCGATATTTCGATAAAGCTTGACCCACAGATATATTTTGTGCCCTAAACTGTTGAACGCTTTAGCGATTGGACCAGATTTTCGCACACTCTCCTTATTTTAGAAAGCCATTATATGAATTTTCAGCGCGGACTGATTTTGTTTAGATTCTATTCATGAACAATTATACTAACCCAATTAGGATGCGTTACTTAACGGTGGACATGGACGACTATAGTGTTTTTACTTTTTTAATTTTCGGTAATATTTTTATACCGTAGATCCATACGCTTTACCAACATCATGGTAAACACAATCGATTCATACATGAGAAGGGTTTTGAAAAGGATGTCGATGTCATCATAATTTCAAATGCTCGTTCAAGTGGTATTGGTTTTCTCGCTAGCCCTCAAAGGCTGAACGTAGCCATAACTAGACCGAAAAAGTGTTTAATATTATGCGAAAATTTTAAAAATTTGGAGGTAATTATTTGAATCGTTTTTTGGGCATCGCTTTAAGAAGAACTATGTTTTTATTTTTAGGCCGTACCTGCCTGGCGTTCATTGTTAGACAGTGCTCGTGAACGTAAATTGTTCCATGATATAAGCACCGATTGTATCTACGATATACAGGCTAACGTCACTGAAAAAATTAAACTGAAGAAGGTTTTACAAGAAACTAATAGCAATTGAAAGCGTTGTTGAACATATTTTTGCAGTATTTAGTTAAAAATGAATTTGTCAACAGTTTTCTTTTTCAATATACATTTTTTTTTTCTTTACCTGCATATTGAAACTATACTTATGTTAGCAGGCATGCTTTATGCTCGTGTTCGGTCTTTTTTTGTTGTAATATGTGCAGCGTTTAATCAACTCAAGGCAAGGATTGACATTGTTTAACACTGTAGTAAGCTGCAAAGTTTTCAGAGATGAAAACCAAATGACTTTAACTTTAATATATATAATTGTATAAAAAAAGACTCCCTTTATCTCCCCTTGAACGTCTCCTGACCAGTTTTATTCAATTTTTAGCGACCTGGCGTTCGATTTTCGCATATTTGTGAACATTTTGTGTTAATTCTTTGCATATATTCGTACAAGTGCTTTTATATAATATATAATCTTATATATATAATTGTATAAAAAAGAGCATTTATTTTATTTATATATTTCATTGTCATTATCATCGGGGATTTCTGCATCACTGCGAAGCATCCTAAATGTAGATTAAGATACGTATTAGAATTAGAGCAACATCGAAAGCAAAACGCTTACCTGTGATAAATATTCATTGCCGAATAAGTTTTATTTCGAATTTTCCAGAGAGAACACCGATCCACGATTATTAGCGCTAGCACAGCTTTCATCCAAAATAAGTAAATTTCAAGAGTCTCCTCAAATGGGGATATTGTTGAATAATTGTAGCGTTAACGAGAAAGAAAAAGTAACGAAATTCTTAAAGTTTAAGCAATTTAAAAAAATCTGATTTACCTTGAAATGGCAGCGTATGTAGTGTAAGCTTGACCGTATCTTCTATACCTTCTTTTCATGAATGTATACATACTTTGTGGGGCCTATAATGCCTCCTTCTGGCCGATAATATACATATACCCATCCTTCGGTGATAGGTATAAAAATGCACACTCATACACTCATTTATAGGATTACATGCCTCTTTGTAAATGAACTTGTTCACGTTTATTTATGTAGACTTTTAGCAGCTATTTGCAAGTCTCCTTTATGATAGCAGAGGAATTTTAGTCTCTTATATATATTCAAAACGTAGTGAAAAAACCATGTCATCAACAGTACTACGAAAATTATGATCTCGTGTGATGATTAAGCAACTTTCGAAGAGATAAAAACTCGGCAATAATTAGTTTTTTTTTCCAATTTTTTTTTTACTATCTGTTCCAGAACCTAACTTGTTCACTTTGTCGATTAAAAAGAGCAATCTGTGCGAAAAGAAAAGGTGTTTAAAATTTCGGTTTAAACCAGTTATAAATGTTTTATTATTATACAACTTGCATACATACAAAAAAGAAAGATGCCATATCGTCATTGCATTTCTTCATATATGTAAAGCGTTTTGACATTTGAATAAATCTTTCGATATTTCAACAATTTTAGAGAACAACAAGCACAAATTTTTAATGAGGATTGCTTTAAAGAAAAATTGCTCGTGAATTAATAATGGAATTATCACCCAATGCGGAGGCAGTGGATATAAAACCTACTCTAACAGCAGACGGCTTAATAAAGACTTCACCTACAGCACCACCGGTGACGACCGCAAATATTACGGCTGGTAATAGCGGTTTGACAGTTGCACGACTTGACATAGAAATATTGCCTGTTATATACGATATATTGCGTTGGTAAGTGTTCATTTATGATGTGGAGGTCAATAACACCAAGGAACCTCTTTGTGAGACTACCTTTGTTATCAATGAAAAAAAAAGAAAAGTTGTGTTTTTTTGGATGCGATTTGCTTTTGTTTTCATAATACGTGGATAAAATCTTATTCAGTTTAATTTGTCAAAATCTTATATAATGTTTTTGTCAACTCAGTGTAGAGAAGGATCCTTTGGATAACAGCACCAAGCAACGTGAATCTCAAGAGTGTAGCCAAAAGGTTAGACAAGATTTCGAATATTCATACTATGTGTAAAAATAATATTAAAGTGGAATCATAGATTTTAGAACTGCAGAAACGTTTTGAATCCGCCCGCAACCAAATCAAACAGTTACCAGGCATCGACTACAATAAAGAAGAACAGTTACAGAAATTAGAACTGCTACATAATCAATTGACGTTGAAACAACAATTAATTCGGAAATACAAAGATATACAATTTTAAGCCCGCGAAAATGGTCTTGCGGCTATTGATGCGTTATTTAGCAAATAATGAACAACTTATACAACGTATGGCTGAAAGTTATCCTATGCGCAGAGCGGCCCAATTGGTGGTATCGTTAATGTATCGTGCCAAAGATTTGGCTCGAGAAAAGCGCCTTAACGAAATGAGTCCGGAACGCTTCAAGTGAGTATTACGGCTGGTAAACTTAAAGCCTTAGAATATATATCGGATTTTTAATTTTAGACAATTCATGCAAGCTTTCAAAACAAACGTTAAACAAGAGATTGAAGGCGTTAAAGAAGAAATAAAAAAGAAGAAGTAGTAAAAAAAGAAAGGAGTAGAATGAATATTATGTGTATTTTTCTATGTATATATGTAAACTTGTGCAGATGCTTGATTAGGGATATAATGAACTGATAAAATAAATCTTCTTTATTTTAAAAACGTTTTATTTCTTAAAGCCAAAAGAAAATAACTTTTTAGGTTTTCAATTATAAAAATTATAACAAAAAAAATTTAATTTAAAGTAATAATTCATTTTCTTAAAGAAAAAATTTAATGCTCCTTTTGTTTTCTACAATTATTTTTACATACATATGCTTTATACATATTCTCTTATTAACATCTGCTCTGTGATATTTCATTATTTCATACGTAGCAAAATAGTATTTTAATCTGTTCTATATATTCATGAGTCCTTTAAAAAACTTGTGGTTTGTACACGTTTTGTTGCACCAAAAAACTCGGCACTTTCTCTCCTACCTTTTAAAAAGTTGAAAAAATTCTTCTTGCCAACATTCGATATGATTGTAATTATTCAGTTTTACTGCACTTTGGCAGCGATATGTGTAGAATTGGCGCTCGTTTGTGAAATTGTTGAGGCATTCGATTCCATGTTTGGAGCCGTTGTATTGGCGGCAAATCTCTTATGACCCCTCTTCGCACTGTTTCGAGCCATATCACGTTTATCTGCACTTAATTCTAGTACTCCTTCAGCTTTAGTTGCCTTATTGCTGAAATCATGATCCATGTTATGACTTTTATTGCTCATGTTATTAGTAGCTGCTTGCACATTAGGATTTTGATTTTGTTTGCCGTGCGAGCCTTGGCCTTGAACCCGCGCCTGCATTTTATTGGGCTTTGGACGATGCTGAGCTGCCACTGAATTGGTGATGGGCTTCAAGACATTTCCCACTGCTTTTGTTCGTCCTTCACGAAAAACCATACGTTGACCAGGTCGTATGTATTCGGGATGTTTAATAAAGCGAAACTTAACATGAGCTTTATCGCCAGTGCGAAGGCATTCTTTGGACATAGTTACAATAGACGCAGTTTGACGGATACTGCCGCAATGTACCATTGCTTGATAACGAGATGAAATTGTGGTGGGATGGTGCAAAACTAGAATTTCTCCTTCAAATTCCCAGCAGGCCTGAGGCTTTATTTCGGGACTGACCATAACCATGCCCTTTCGTATTTGAGATCGTTTAATTTTCTTTAATGCAAAGCTAGCAGTTTGACCGCCTCGCACCTCTTTCACATTCATACGCTTACGATGGATACTCTTGACTGCGATGGGCATAAAATTACCTAACGGATCTGGACCCAGCATTAAAACGTCATTCAATTTAATCAATCCCTGCAAACAAGTGCCAGAAACTACTGTACCAACTCCGGGTACGGAATAAGTATCATCTATTTGAAATTCCGCTGGTAAATCATCTTGACCCGACATACGCGTAGTCAATAAATTCAAAAACATTTTTAATAAATCCAAATTCTCCCCAGTAACGTTGGATACTTGAAATATGGGACACAAACGTTCTGAAACGAAGTTTGTGGCACTTAACACAACCTCATCCGGAGTCTTTACCATGACGGGCACCTTTCGGCAACCTTGGGATTTTAGAATCTTGAAAAGCAATTTCAAATTATCTTGCAAAACATTAGGAGGACACATATCAATTTTAGTGACCACCACAAAGACCGGTACCGACAATGCCAAAGCCAAGCCTAAATGCTCTTTGGTAGTTCCCACTACACCTGAAAAAGAGCCATATGTTAACAGTAAAAACAGAGATATTAAACTATGCAATGTCGTCCAATAAAAAATCCATTAGGGTTTTAAGACTTTAGTCTTTAGATTTTTTTCTCACCTGCGTTGGCACCTATCTAAAATTCAAATATATATATATTATAAAATGTAATCGCACGAAATCAGAGGAATCATACCATTAACATGCCAAAATCGGGGGCGTGACCAGTCATACCAAATACAGTAGTCTTTAAGTATCGCTCATGGCCAGCCAAATCGATAAAAGTAATAACTTTAGCAGACTTTTCGCAGATTTTCACCCAGTCCAATGTTCCATGATCTGGCTTATTGACCACATTGCCAATGCTATCAAAGCCTTAAAAATAAAAAATCTCTCTTATTGTTTGATGTAAATGATCTCGATACAGTTTTATATATAGTGATGCAAACGCAATATTAATTCACAGAAAAAATTGAAAAGCCTATTTGAAGCAAGCATACCTAGGATATCGTTGCCCACGGAACTAGTACGACCACTTTCCATTTCATGTTTATGGCGAAACAAACGTTGCCTAGCATGTCCTCGGCCATTATCCAATTCTCCATGGGTCAAAACTCCCAGTAAAGTGGACTTGCCGGCGTCCACATTCCCCACCACAGCCACTCTAAAAAAATGTTCGCTGTGATCTTTTTTTTTATATCTGCAAGATTTTTTTACCGGATTTCCATGAAATCGGACATGTCCACACGTTTTCTGATCAAATATTGAGCCGTTAAGCCCTTTTCCACTTTACGTTGCTTCAATAGTACCATATCGGCATTTAAGGTGGTAGCTAATGATTGCATTGTAGCGACTGAAGCTTGGTACTCGTCCTCGTCTAAACCATGTTCACCCCCATCTAAAATAATAATAGCGGATACCGTTTTTCAAATATCACAATTCGTTTCGTTACTTTTTACATTACCAACCTTCCCCTACACCAATTTCGTAGATAGTTTCACCACGACTATCCTGGGTGCGTTCTTCCAAACGTTTTTTCAGTAAATCATATTGCTCCTCTGTAGGACTAACCAAGACATTTTTTCCACGAATGCTTGAATAATCCGTTCGTTGTATTTGCATCTTAGACAAATGTTCAGTATTCACTGGTGATCCAATAAAAAAATTATTACCACCTCCCGCCTTTCCGCTATTCGCAATAGCCGCCTTCATTGTTTTGCTTTTTATATTTAACACAACCACAAAATTTAAATTATACTTCGGTTACTTTACTTTCGTCTAAAGAACTTTTGATCCGCTAGCGCACTGCTGTCAAACATTTCCCAATTTTTTTAGCTAGGAATAAGATAATAATCCTCCTGAATAATAACAAAGCAACCATTACTTACGTTTATGTGACAATAATGTAGTATGAGAAGATAAAGTTCTTATATATAGTAATTCCCTTATCTAAAAATTATGATGCAATCGATAGTAACTTATATGAAAGCAAAAACATAAATGAATCACAAACTCAGTCTGTTAAATTGGTCTGATACTTCATTTATACCAGCAATAAAATGTTATATATAAGTTCTATCTATTTAGAAGCCCGTCTAAAATCTTATGAGAAATAAGACTTGCCTTCCTATTTCCAATCAAATCAACCAAAACAATACATTACCGTAAATAAACAAAACAAAAAGAGAAAAAAGAACAATGGACAAGTACATAAATGCAATTGCATTAATATAAGAAATCTGGCTGCCATTCAACACATTATGTACATGTGTATATGCGCGTAGAAAAAGCAACATAACACTATATCATAAATAAACAAATATTTACGGAAGAAAGTGAAAGGGGTTACGAATTGTTTTGCAACAAGCAAACACTAAACACTATACTTTTGTACATAATATATTACATTTTCACCAAAATTATCTTTTATAGATGAAATAAAAGTGAAAGGATATTTACTTCTTAAAATTCGAGAATATCTAGATATATTCAATGCAGATCCATTTTTAGCGAAAACTTACATATATTTTATTTAAAAAAACCAGGTGGAAAATCCTTTGCCAGCATTTGCTCTTAATACAATTTTTTCTTTTTTCACAAATAGTAAATATTTTTATGGCAATTTGTCTTTTATATATCAGCAAAAATCTTATTGCAACAAAAACTACTCATCTTTGACGTGTGGCAATCGGTATATAAAATTTGACATTGTTGTCAACAAAAAATTTTTTTCACACTACAAAAAGCGGCAATGCTGCTAACCTCATTGCAGAAGAAGATAAATAAGTTTCATTATTATTACTAATCGAATTACGATAATTGTAATTCGATAACACGCATGGTCTTAATGTTAATTATTTTAATGTTGAAAACAAAATTCCCGAAATTTTCCGAAAAAAGTAATTAGTAATCAGTATAAATTTTTGATTTGATTGGTAGAACAGAATTGAACATATTTTTGCCGATAGCTTTGCATTTTAACAGAGTTGAATGTGTTTTGTCTGTTAAGTTTGGACATTTAACGAGTTGAATGGCGTTACCATTTAAGTTGTTAAGTTGGGCTTTTAACCATTTATTTATTATAAGCGACTCTTTGCTTTGCCTTTCAACAAGGAATTTAACCATTTATTTATGGCGCCTACCTCAAAGGTGGGAAACCGTGCTTTTATGCTTAATGTCCCTTTCTCCGTTATAAACTATATAAAATCATTATCTTAGACCTATTTTCATCATAAAACTCCATAACACTATATATGACAGGGAATTGAAAAAATCGTCCAATCAAAATAATAATGTTTAAACGTTTTTCGATGTTTAACTCTGCTTATATTTGACATGTTTAAGAATGTTGAAGAATGCTTAATAATGTTTAATAAGGTTTTGGTATTGAGATACAAAAGCATATTGCAAACGGAAAATGTTGCGTAAATTTATGTAAATATATAAATATAATGTTTAGGCGGTAGAGGAGCTGAAGATTGTTATTGCTGCTTTGTCAGAGATTTTCCAAGAAATGTTAGAAAGAAACCACGAGATGAATTATTATTATTATTTTAAGTTATAGCCTAAGTTATAGCCTCTCTCTCTCTCTGTCAGTATATTCTTGTTACGGACAATTTGTTTATTCATTATCTCCATTATTTACTTATATATCCTGTTCGAAAAATGTAAAAACAATGGTATCGCCAAAAATGGAATAATGCAATAATTTTATTTATTTACATTTTATAATTATAATTTTATTTGTTTAGTTATATTTTAAATCACGATGACAGATTTTATTAATGTGGATTCGTTTGTTTGCTATTTTACATTATTTTGATATTTTCCGATGTTATTTTTTAAACATTTAACACATCCAAATAAATTCGACCAAATTGAATAACATAGGCCTTACACGCGGCCAATTGCTTAACGGCAGTCATATTCTTAAGAAAATCAACGTTTTTTGAAGGACGAGATATGATTTCATCCCATACTTGTAAAATTGAATAAGTTTAGTTTGCTTATTTTCCAAAAAACTAAACATCTAGAGGTGATGATAGAAGAGCGAAAGCGACCAAGTCAAGGAAAAAGAATCGGAAACAATCAGGAACCCTTTAAGACCATTAAAAAGAATAACAATTTCTTTTATATGTATATATATATATTTATATATATTTATATATATTAATAAATTATTTTAAATCTACAATAAAGGTATTATATAAATAAAGGTATTTATTTCATTTATATTTAAATATAAATTATATAAATTAATATACAACAGAAAACAAAAAATTAAATGAAGGCAAAAAATAAAATTTAGACGAAAAACATAACATTTTTAATTTTCATTTAACAAATTGAACAGCAAATAAACAAAACAACAACAAAACAAAACAAAAAAAATTGAAACTAAATTAAATACATATTCAAATTTGAAAATTAATTCAATAATTAAAAGTAATTCAAGTCAAGAAACTAAACTATTAAAGTATATATATACATATTACATAAAAGTTACAGACAATTCCGGCAAATCTCGACCAAGGTAGGCATCGTTATCGACGCAGTATTTTATGATCGCGCGCCAACGACGATTCAAAAGGAGTAGGTCGGGGTTGCTGTATATTATAAGAAAGTAACGAGATCGGGATATCGTGGCGCACCCTTGACGAACCTCTCTATTTATAAGAATATTATTTGTTGACATCATTAGCACGGTCTTCTTCCAATACAAATTTTTGATGCAGCGACTATCTTTTACGCCAATAGCAATTTTTAATTTGCCATGCTCTACTTGGGAAGCAAAGAATTTTTCATAAACTACGAAAGAAACAAAAACATCTTCGTGCACGTCCCTACAGTTCTGGATTAGAACCTGAATGCAAGTGCCAATGCCTTTCCCTAAACCAAACTGATTACTGCCAAGTGACGAATCGCATTTACTATAGAGCTTCAGCTCAATTACCCTTAGGAATATTTTCAGAACAGGATTGATTGATTACTCCTTCGGTAGACAGAGTGCCGCGCTGCTCACTCCTTTTATGATATATTGTCGGTGTTCACATATAAAATAAATGGAGAACTAAACAAGCCAGCATAAAGATCTCAAGCAATCAATAAGAAGTTCCATTCCAGTCCCGTTATTGCCAATCCATTTTCTGGTGAACTAAATGTTTCTCTGTATTTTGGAAGCAACTTCTGTTAAGAATAAGAATTTTAAAATTGCTTTAAAACAGTTTCTGCCATTAAAAAAAATTATGGATGAAGAAACCTTAAAATTTTACATGCTTATTCTTTAAAGGCACCATAGATAATACGCTTATTTTTTAAAGGCATCATACGCTTATTCTCAGATTCTCAGGCAATTTTTATTGAGAAGTGTAAACAAACGTATATGCTTATTCTCAGTTGTTTGACATTTTTACAAATTATTGAGAACATATACGCTTATTCTCGCCTGGTTGGCATTTTTATACAAATTATTGAGAATATATACGCTATTTTCGCCGAATTTTTATACATGCGGCAGCTGTTCATAAACAAAATAAGAAAATTCCTTTTTTGTATGCTGGATGTTATATGTAGGTAGGCAAAGACGATTTTTCTGATGAGTAGTAAGCCGTGCAAAAAAAGATTTTTGATGGAAAATAAATGTAAACAAAAATGTATAAAAAAACGCATCGGATTGGCGATGCAAATAACGCAGCTGGTCGCACGGCTAATGAAATCACAGATCGAATTTTTCTATGTTAGATTAAAATAAAAATCAAGTCCAGCTATCCGGTCGCCGCCTCGTATCAATGAAAATTCGCTACTTGCCAAAGGTAGGTTTGCATTTATCTTTGTTATTATGCTTGTCATTATTATAATTTATTCATTTCTTTTCATTTTATGTTAGATTAAAGATCAAGAATACGCCATCTGAGAGTAATCCTTCTTTAGCCGCTCCCTCACAGTTACAAGTTTATTGTTATTACGTGAATCTCAATCCAGGTCAACACCTTCGCGCTTCTCAAACAATGCTGCGAGTAAATTGTACTTTCCTAGCTTTTGAAGTGATCTCTTCGATCAAGCCTGAGCTTTGAAATTAAATGCCGTTGTATATTCGTCTTGCAGACGTTTGGGGAGTTAAAATTCAGCCTCTGGGCGAGGATTTTCTTTAATTGTTTGAAGATGACTGTGATTTGTGATTGTCGGTGATGAAGAAGCAATCGTAGGCTCTTCTGGTAAATTAGAACCAAAAAATATAGTCCGAGATTTATACAGAGCGCCTTTATGATGCACCTTTAAAGATTCATGCTGAAGGCACAGTCCATTCAGCTCGATTCCAGGTTTAAATTTTCCCAATGCGGTTAAAGGTTCGAGTTTTAATTTGAAATATATTGGAGTGCGTAACGAGCAAGCAAATGGACATCCAATTTTTTTTTTTTTTTGCTTAAAATATATAACCCTTTTTTGCAGGCATCAATAATTCAGTTAGTCTGTCAACTAGGTTTATATAACTTAATTTTGTAGCATTTTTAACTATTAGCATGACTTTCGTGGCTCTTATTGGATGTTTTTCGACAATTTTTTCTCCGAGAATCTAAATGATTTCTTTAATTTCATGGAGCAAACCCAACGGTAGCAAAGCCAGATGAAACAACAAACTCGACAAGCACGAACACAACAAATGCCACAAGCAAATGACAGCCACGGGAATCAGCAACCTGCCTATGGTATATTGTCCCTTTCTCAACAGTCTCGAACGGAGATAAAAATTGCTGATATTTTTGGGCAAGGGACTCGGCGCAACAAAGTATAATAATTGCCTGAGTTGCATTGAAGGAAGCAAACAGGTTTTTAAAGTCAATCTGAGGAGAGAAGAGGAAAAAAATTCAATAATACTCTAAGCAAAGTTTTAAAATCGCTATCTGATTTGCTCTAGGAAAAATTGAAGCCGATTTTGATTATATCAGAACAGTTTAAGATCTGGGTTTCACCGTACAGCGCAATTTCATTGACGTTAAATATTGAACCCGTTTGACATAGAATTGGGTGACTTCCCAGCTGAATTTAGCTATAAACAAATAAATCCATCCGCTGCAAGAACAGTTCGGAATAATCTTTCAATTCTTTCTCCACATCTGTTACTTATGTCCATTAGCTTATTAGGCGTTAAAGTAATTGGTTAATCAAGTACTGCTCGCCAGACAGAAGGCGAATTTACCTTTGAGAAATAAGTTTTTCGCAGACACAAGTCACTTCTGAAATGTATCTTTGTGGATAATTTCTACTTTCAAGAAGTATTCAAAAATTGGTGATTCAGTTTTTTTTTGGCCACTTTTCAAACCCCGATTTATACGAGCTTTTTGTTAAGAAACGGTGGTAGTATAGAAAGAACGGTACAGCCATAGCCGAATATATTGCGTTATTATTTGTTTATTTTAGTTTTTTCAATTAAATATGCGCAAGTCTGCTACTTTTTATGAATATCTCTGATCCGTTAATTATGTACGAACAATATAAAGTGGAACCTTTCTGTTTTTAAGATAAACTACTCAACATTCTCTGCTTTGTACTTACACATTGACAACTGTTGATTGTTAATTAAGTGTATATTGCAATAAAATAAATAAAAATTGTATAAATAAAAATTGTATATTGCAAAAAAGTTTGGTTTGTAGTCATTTGTAGACGGTCTTTTGATCATAATTCTCACAAGTATGGTTAGCAGTCATTTGTAGATAGTATTTTGATCATAATTCATGTAAGTGTGGTTAGTAGTCATTTGTAGAAGGTATTGATGTGATTAGTAGTCACTTGTAGATGGTATTAGTGTGGTGTATATAAATAATCGATAATTGTTTGACTCACTGGGCAGCATTGCGTAGTGTTATATTCTTTTAATTTGCTTACTTGCAGAAGAAAAAGTAAGTAGCTCTTTATAGGCTTTTTTTAAAAACTCTAACTTTGTAAATTCATTTTAGGAAAAGCTTCAGATCGTGGTTATACCGAGAAAGAGGACACATACAACGTAAATCAAAGTAAGTTGTGTTTAAAATCCGCGATGAGACAATATTTAAATTAATTCAAAATTTTTTAGCTCTAGTACCATCTAATTGGGGTGATGATGATGACATTTTTGCTTCCATAAGCACTCAGGAAATCTTACATGAAGACGTGAAGATCAATAATTTTGGAAAAACTTCAAACAGCTGTGCGCAAATAGCCAACAAAACAGACGTTCAAGCTATGTGCAAAGAAGAAAAAATGGACGAAGCTCCCAGCACCCGCAAATTCGCAGCAGTAGCTGCTCCGTGCCGTAAATGGCGCCCGCTTTCTTTAAATCCAAAATTTAACCACAGGCCACCCCCCCAACTTTGTGAGACACCGGAAAGAACCTCGCGACAAATCGAGACTACGACTAGTACACCAGGCGTCAATAGACCAAAGAGGGGGCGGCTCTCGGGCTTAAGTCGTAATTATACTAGTTCAAAGAAATAAATACGAATTTATATTACATTGTGTAAAAGCAACGGAACTGGTTTTTTTTAATTCAAAAACGTCTCGATGTCTTTTTTCATCAAAATTAGTTTTGCTATTTTTACGCATTTTATTTAATTAATGACATTTCGATGTATTTTAAGAACTTCCAAGTGGTAAAAAACGATCGGTAAATTCCCTACCATATTGCTTTATAAAAAATGTTTACATACCACACATGTGGTTTCAAAATGGGTATTATTGTGTCTTGATGGGTATTAAGAAAATTAATTAGTTATATGTAATATGTATATATCTGATATATTTTTGTGTACAAATTGATCCATAATTTGGCAACGACCATTTACTACTTTAATAAAACAATTTGATTAATATATTTCAACTTTAAAATAAATGGCTTTTACTGTTTGTTTTTCATAACATATAAAAAAGAAATGTATACTATTGGCAAATAAACATAATTTAGATAAATAACTTTAAAATTTAAAAGAAACAATTATTATTTCCATTTGTGCTTGTTTCTCTTTTTTTGTATTTGAATGCTTACAAGTAAATCAACGACGGTGAATTTTTCTCAATTGTAAACAAATTCGGACGGGCTCTTTGAATTACTCTCAGATGCAGCCAATTTGGGACGGGCTCTTTTAGTTAAGCTTAATTGTAGATTGTCGAGTTATTGAAAGTGATGCGAAAAAGTGTTGCAAACTTTGGCTAAAAAAAAAAGAAATATAATAGCAATAGAAAATGTTTGAACGCAAAAAATAATTTAAAATAAATTCGCTTTTCTAATGTAGCAAGTTAATCCCTTGAGGTAACGTACATTTTTTGCTGCAAAGAGATCGAGGAGACAGCCATATATTCGAATTTACCGCTTTATTTTTACCTAAGCTATTTACACATTTCATTTATTTTTATTCGTCAAAATGATTGAACACCGTCGTAAGCAAAGCTATTTACTATGAAAAGTAAACAAAAATCAGCTGAGTTAATATAAGCATATAATAAAGTTGATGCAATTTAATGAATTGCTTAATTTCATACGCTGTCATCGAGGAGAATTTATGATTAAATTCAAGTTCCCGTGTGACAAACCATTTGCTGGCTATCGCTCAAATCTTTTTTTAATGATTGCTTTTCTTTTTTTTCGTGGTATTAGTTGCGTCTCATAGCATTCTTCGAATATGTAGAAATGATTCAATTACATTGTAGCAAAATAAAGAGCAGTCCCGGGATATTTCCTTATAGACTTTTTCTTATTGATTTACAAAACTTAAATATTTGATAAGAAAAAGAGAACAGAGAGTGCCATCCATTCGTTGGTTCCTTTAGGTTTTGAGATGGCCCGAAGAATTGAAACAAAGTTTTCATGTTTATATTTTTTATTAATATAAGTATGTTTCTAAATTATATAAAAAAAAAAAGAATGATTACACAAATGCTCATCAAAAAATTTTTTCCAATGCTAAAAAATATTCTGATACATTAAAAATGAATTAATTACAATGGGCGAAGAAGTATTGTGAGCGGTATCAGACACAAAGCATGAAGAATGAAAACTATGAAATGTTAAGACAAATGTTCAAGTAAACGCACGACCAAGAAGAAAGTTTGGGGGAATTTGCGGAACTTGTATGTATATATGAAAGAGGACTTAGCAGAAAAAAGTTCAAGAAATCCTTTAGATGTGTTTAGCGTGTCAACGTTCAGTATATACGGGATCACAATAGACATATGATTGCAATTTAACATGCAAGTGTGGGTAACACGAAAACTTTCTTAAACTATATAAAAACATACTTAATGTTTCCCTTGTCGGAATGGTAATGTTTTGTTGGAGTGCACTAGTCTTTCAGAAGATTGCGGAATATATTAGTAAAAAATGCGTAACAGGACTTCTAATTCTCCTTTGTTACCAGTTTCTTGAGTGAATTTAGTAACTCGTGTTAGAAATAAATTTCTTAAAAAAGTGAGTACAAATTTGATGTTTGTGTTGCTATTTGGGAAATAGTTTTTAATAGCTGTGTTTCACGTACACTTTTGTTAAGTTCCTTATATTGTTTCCTCCCTTTACTGAACCATAACATATTGGTTTAAACAAATAATTTAATTGCATACGTAGCATCTACTCTAGAATAAAAGCAAATTGTTTTGCGAAAGATAACCTTAATTTCCCTCCCTTTCCTCTTCAAACGTAATTCTAAATGTTTGTCTATCTGAGTGTTTCTATTATTAAATAAATGTTTATGTGTGTGTGGTTGTTGTTTTTTGTTTCGCTATAGTAATGTGTGGTAGTCACTGCTTTGACGTTGTTATAATTGCTAATTGTGAGATAAGCCCTTATTATTACACCTTCGAAATAATTCCTTCCAGAAGAGCGCACTAAGCTATGCAAAATTTATAAATTTTTTTTTAACAGCAGAATTCAGGTTTGGCGGCGGTGGTGGCTGCACCAATGGCCACTTCTTCAAAATTGTCCACCAAATCGGGCACATCGTCATCACCCGCTGAAGTTGCACCTGCGCCCACACTAGCACCAGCAGATGCACTCTTGTTAGCCAATTCACTAGCAATCTTTTTCAATTGCGTTATATCCTGCGGGCCTAACTGCGTGAGAATGCCAGGCAACATTTCCGAAATAGATTTATTTTCACCGTGACCCGTTATAGCAAATGTGTTAGTAGGCAAGGAAGCCTGAGCCTTCGGATTATTGAAATGTATAACAGTACCATCATTCTTGATAATGTTCACCTCTTCAATCCCAGGTATGGTATTCACCGATAATTTTTTTAACGATGACTGCAATTTTTTATCATCTGTAGCGGGGGTGGAGTGTACAATCTTCTTCTTACGCCGTGGTGTACCCTTACCACCAATACGTACTTGTGCTTGAAGCTTTTTCAATTTTTCAGCATTCATCTGAAATATTTCGAGCAATTAAAATAATTTTTATACCATTCGTCGCAGTTCGTTTAAGAAATTTACATTTTTATTCAATTTTTTAATAAGGACGGGTACGTAAGGAAAACACGTGCGCCAAAAGTAATAGTCAACTGTCAAAAAGGAATCGCCATTACGCTAAAACTTCTAGTAGTTTTTGGTATAGCAATAATGTATAAATATAGGCACATATGAAATAGTGCATGAATTCTGACAGTTTTTGTTTTCGATTACACTTTTCTCGAGTTCGCCTACTACACAGGATTGTATTTTGTGTTATTGCATATAATTATACGATTTTTCGTCATGATTGCTTAACATGTTTCTATATAAATATGATTTGAATTAAACATTTTTATTCTCAGTTTTCTTTTCACTTTACTTCAACATTTTTCTTTGACTTGTATTTCTTTAAAGAGACTTTATTAGAATAGCGCCATTGATTTCTTAAAAATTTTAATATAAATATGGCAACAATGATCAGCTGTTAGTTAGTTAGCTACGTTGCTAACATTTGTTAATCAGGTGAGATTTTTTATTTTATAAAAAAGGTAGAAAGTGCGTTAATGTTTTCTTCTTAATTGCTCGGTTGTTATTATTTTCGTTTAAGAAGCACAAATTCAGCAACTGTGTACAAACAAAATATAAAAAATTCGATTCGGTTAACAAATTTTGCATTTGTTAGTAAGTAGTAGCTCTCCAATAAAATTACTTTAACAACATTGATAATCAAAATAGTGACACATGCATTTTTGCATATATAAAGATTGTCATGCTGTACGGTTACATTTTTTTACTTTATTGCTATTGACTTTATGTTATCGTTTGTTTTGATTAGGATAAAATCTACAAAAAAACTCAACTATGGATCCCGAGAAATCAAGCAATAGCTCTTTTGAAGATCTTTCAAATGAAAGCGACATTAAAGCTGCTTCGGAAAATATGATTAAGAAGGAGAAAGAAGCCATATCGGAAGAAACAAATATAAAGGACAATGAGGGGACAATGAAGTTGAGCGATATTGCAGATTCGGATAGCGATTCGGGCGCTCCAGCCTCTGTGGGAGATGAGGAGCCATGCGATATACTTGGCAACGGTCAGTTGGTAAAACGTGTTCTTAAGAAATCTAAATTGAAAAGACGGCCGATGCGGGGTGAATTGGTAACTGTAAATTTCACTGGAACTTTGGTGGACGGTACAGTTGTAGAAAAGGAGGATTTATTGCAAATACATGTGGGAGATTTTGAAGTGAGTGAAGAAAAATTTTTTTTCTTTTATTAATATTTTTTTTTCCTTAGGTCGTCCAAGGTTTGGATATGATTATTCCGTTGATGATTGTAGGTGAAGTTGCTGAGGTAAAGGTAGACTCTCGTTTCGCTTATGGTTCTTTGGGCTTAAAAAACGATGACAATCCCGAACTAAGCATTCCACCAGAAGCTACTGTAAGTGTGTATAAGTGAATGAAAACAATCGTTGACAACTTTCTCCATTTAGTTAATATATGAAGTGCATTTAATGGATGCAGTTTTTGAAGACTTTGCTGATTTAAAGTCATACGATGTGCGGAAAAAATATGGGTAGTCATTGTGAATCTCTGAAACTAAATTAATCGATATTAACGTTTTATTTTTACAAGCACGCGCAAAAAGGAACGTGCAAACTTCTGGTATAATCGCAGCGAATACAGCCGAGCTATACAATTGTATAGACGGGCATTGGAATATCTAGATGATCGTGACGGCGACCCTGACGCTAAGTTCGACAAAGAGGACATCGAGGTAAATTAACAGTGCTTACAAAGATAATATATTGTTGTGCATATCAGTTTAGCGTTGAAAAAAATCAAAATTGAGTTATTGTAAGTTACTCAAATTGTCCGAATAGCTATTCATTGATATGCGCTCGTTAAAGCAATATGAGGGATTAGAAATCAACATGTCACTTGAATTCAGACTAGTCGTTTTAGACGTCGTACAAACACGTTGACTTGATGAGTCGTTTTTCGTTTAATATGGGAGTGTTATATGTCACGAAATTAGTATTGAGCTAAATAGCTATAGAAATTTAGTTTAGTCAAACACAAAATTTTTCATCATAATATTTCGAATAGATTTGCATCTTGGTATTGTCGGTTCTTCCCGGCTATTATATTTTAAATATTTTTATTAAAATGTTTTATATTAAATAGTTGACCAATATGGAATTACAATCCTTGCTAGACGATCGTTTAATTGTGTATAATAATTTAGCGATGGCGCAAATAAAAATTTCAGCATTTGATGCGGCCTTGCAGTCTGTAGAACACGTTTTGCGATGTCAACCTGGTAATTCAAAAGCACTTTATCGCAAAGGCCGAGTAAGTAAAAAATAAAAGATCAGTTACCTACCAATTACTTTTTTTATTAATTAAACTCCAATTAGATTTTGGATGGTAAAGGCGACACTAAAGGAGCTATAAGCTTATTACAAAAAGCTGCCACTTTAGAAGCGGACAATCGGGCCATACAACAGGTTTTGACGCTTTAATATAAAAAATCCAAACTCTTTTTAAAATCATCTAAAATGTTCTTAGGATTTGGCTAAACTTATTATTAAAGCTCGGCGTGAAGACCACAATGAAAAGGAAATGTATCAGAAGATGTTGGGTCAAGCTAAAAAATTAGAACAGAAAAGCAAACAAGCCCAAAAGCAGCAAATTGTGGAAAGCTCTAAGGTATAGCGAAATAAATCCAATGTTTGTAGACTAAGTAAATTAGATTCGCTTCCTGAAGCGAATTTTCGAATTTTTACCTGAAACGACTAATGGTTGTCATATTGAACTAGGACTTGCATTTGCAAGGTATTAGGGAGAAATCTTAGGGCTGGTCCCTAGAATTTTAGAATGTTCTTGTGTGCGTAGAGTACAATTTTCAGTATGGCGGATGCCTTTCTTGCAGATTACATCATTATTAAACCCGGTTTTTGAAATTTATTTCAACAATTCCCTGGCTTTAAGCATTGGTACTAACCGAAATTCCAAACGAGTTTTTGGATTTATGACATGTTAGAAATTTAGTAAAAGAATTACAAAAGCCTATCTTTTGTGAATAAAATTTTATAAATCGATTACCTATCTTTCAGCTGAAACTGCTAGGCTATTTAATGGGTTCAATACTCATTGGCGTTGCTGGTGTGGCCATCTATCGCTATAAATACTAATTGGCTGGATGATATATACTAAAGGAATTTATAAAATAAAAATCCAGAAACAATTGAAAAAGAAAATGAACAAATGCTTTCTGTTTGATATCCCAAAAGGTTATAATAAAGAAGCGAGAAATGATTATTTTATTATATTTACATAACATATAAAAATACCTATGTACACATATGCTTCAAGGCTCTTCAACTCCATGCAATATGTTCAAGTTTAAATTAGTTTTGCTATTTTTTCGCATTTTATTTAATTAATGACATTAACGACATTAGTTTTGGTTGTGTTTTTCTTATCCTTGGTTAAAAAAAGGTTTCTTGTATCTTTTTGCTATTCAAATACTTATATTGTTATAGCTTTTTTAGTGTTTATGTATATTCATTCCACATAAGAATGCAGTTATTAATTTTTCCTTTTTGAGATAAGAAGACGTAAAAAAAAAAAAATAAAAAAAAAAAATATATATATATATATATGTATATTCACAGATTATTTTATAAACAAAACTTTTTCTTTTATTTTAGCATAGAATTATTTTTTTTTATACCTACCACCGAAGAAAGGAGGTATTCTCATTTTGCTTTTTCATAATTTATGTAACACTCGAAACGAAGCTTTAGAGACCCAATGGAGTAAACATATTCTTGATTTGTGTGCCTGTGTGGTGTTTATTGTTGGCACTCGCAGGCTGGCATTGGAAATGGGCCAAATTGATCTCAGCAGAAGCCCGCAGTGGACCATAAACTAAACGCAACCCTGTTTTTCTTAACGAAAATTCGTGGGTTTTTGCTCGTTATTAAGAAGGTATAAAAATTAGAAGGCTGAAGCTTTCCACATTTATTTTACGAAAATATTGTTCTGTACGTGCAAAAATGGGAAAAATCGCCCACCTATTTAAATTTCATTTTTTTCACTTTTTTGATGCTTAGTGCTTATTTATCATAAGACAATCAAGGCAGAATGTTGAAAAGTATTTTGTACATTCCTCAAATGAAACCAATACTTTAAATTATTCGGCAATAGACTTTCGTGACATCAAGGGCAGCTCAAATACCGGGAACCTTCTTGTTTTTCATTTCTACAGCCGCCTTCTCTTTATTCGGCTTCTTTGCAAAATTTGGAAGTCGAAGTTACAAAACTAACGCTTTCTACATTTTATGCTCGGAACCTAGTTCTTACCTATGCTATAAAATAACAACACTTTTAATAGAGCTCAATTTCAAAACTCCAATTCTGCACTGATTTGATAAATGTAAAGACGTTGGTTTTGTTTCCAATTTGCAGTCATTTTCTAATGCTAAAGGACAATCTCTCTTATAAGTCCATGCGGAGCGCATCTTTTCGAATTATCTTGCATGAGTTCAACGTACTCTCAAAATATCAGTTTTTATAATCACCTTCAAAGAACAGATATATACAGATGGCGTTGTTTGATTTTTTAACATACGGGGGGCATTAGGAATATCATCTGAAATATCAGTGCATCTGGCCAGAACTCTGAACATATCTCAAGGCCTGAGTTAGTAAGCGTTTGCTCCATGTTCACATAAAAGCTATATTTAAAAGTTAAAAAACTTGAAATAATTAAAAAAAAAATTTTAAAACAACTGGGATCATATGAAAAAGTGCATATATAATTGAATATAAGTGCAATTTAGTGAAACGAAATAACAAGAAAATTATAGCAATAAATTTTATAAAATGATTACAAAAATAAATTACACGAGAAAGACAGCATATGCACGATAACCAATATGAGAGAAAATAACGAAAATGCTGCAGTTAATGCGTTATTCCAATTACGAGGAAAAAGATTTCGCTTGTCGTATAGTATACTTTTCTGGTCGTACAGTATACTTTCTGGTCGTACAGTATACTTTCCTGGTCGTACAGTATGCTTTTCTGGTCGTAGCAGCAACAGAAACGCGAAAAGCTCCCGAATTGTTTAACAGTCATAGGAAAATTATCATAAAACATGACTTGTTTAAATGATTATATATAAAAATAAGTATGTTCGATGCATACATCAGCTGCAATTTATGACGGGTCTTTGTTTACGTATAGCTGAAGAGTAACGCGTAGTAGCAGTAGTAGTAATATCGTATTAAAAGCTTTGAAATCTTTGACTTACTCCTAATGGACTTTTGGTTTTTCAAAATTTGTTGTCGATTTATTTGCTTGCATATATTAATGAGTGCAAAAGGAATTTAAGCCATGGTTTGTAAAGTAGGTGAACTCTTTTCCGAGATTTCATTGTCGCCCGTAACAGAGAAGCGGACAGTTTGCTGTCTACTGCCTGCGTATTTGCGGAATAACCACATCGCCAACTTCATTCAAGTTTTAGGTGGTCTTCTAGAGTATTCAGGCGAATTTCTAGGCTGAAGTTTTCATTTTTTACATTGTGAGCGAAAATCGCATTTGTTGTCTGAATCGGTCTCTAACCACTAACTAAGAATATGTAAACAAGTTTCGTCTTTCAATTTCTAATTTTGTCCTCGTAAGCATTCCAAAAAATGTCGAAGGAAAGATGCTGATAATTGCAGGCATTTAAACAAAAAAAGGGAATTTGGAAAGGTCGACATTCGCTTTTGCATTATTGCCCGTAAAATTTTTTAAATTGTTTTCTAATTACATATTAGGAGGTTGCAAAAACGTTGACATTTTTTTCCGGTGAAATAGGCATTTATTGAGAAAAATCAAATTTTTCCATAATTTTCTACAACATTTTACCATATTCCTTGCGAAATAGCGGTATCGTGTGGAAAGAGACGATTTGGTTCGGCAGCGATTCACTCACCGATCCATTTTCACACTTTTTCAACTTTGCGGACCCGCGTACCAGCCAAGCCACGCTGCATTGATCTGAACAGGCGGTAATCAGAAGGCGCCATAGCTGGTGAGTACACTGGGTGAGGTAGAGCTTCCCGTTCGAACTGCAGAGGTATATCCTTGGGCAACTCTTGCAATAAGTGCCTAAAATGGCATTTTCAGTCAATTTGTGTGGTAGCCATTTTTCCTCCTTTCGATCGATCTATTCGATTCGTTAACTCATACATTGTTTGAATTGTCTTTGAGAGTTTGCGGTGGGTTTTTGTCCAATAAGGTCTCCGCTGCATTCTTTTCGAGCGTTTTTTTTGTCCTCCAGGCAGTTTTTTGTTATTGACTTTGACTTTTAAATCGCTGAAACCAAAATCTCCAATTGGGATATGATGGAGGAGCGTGACCATAAGTTTCTGAACGTGTTTGGTGGGCTTTGGCAGCAGATTTCTTCAAATTGAACAAAAACTAAAATGAATGTCGAAGGGTTCCACGATCGATGCTGTCGTACGATGAACAAATCAATAATAAATGGGAAATTGTTATTGTATGTGGAAGAAGGTCAAAACCATCGAATTCATCAATGATGTACCCTGGTGGAGTCGCTGGCCAAAATTTTTGCAACCTCCTAATACATGATTATGAGTGATTTGTTGAGAATTCCAATATGAAACTCTCCCAACACATAAACAAATGCTCGTTTTGCTACATTTAAAAAATTATATTATTATTTATATATAATATAATAGTTATTAAAGGCACATGTGCATAATACATCGCATCATCAATTGCTCGTGTTATCAGCCATATGTCGGTCTGACCTTTTGATCTATAAGTTTACAGTTTGTTCTTACATATATATATATATGTAAAATAACGTTTACTCATTTAACAAATATTCGCAAAGGTTCGCAAAAACAAGTTAAAATTATTGGATTGTCTTACAAGGAATGGGGTTGATGGTTCCAATTGGATGTCAAATGAGTTTTCTATCGGAATCTTTAATGGAAAATCGGATAGGGCTTGTTGCGAGAATCAAATGTAGTATCTCCAATTTTTTAAAAGCGTATTCCCAAGTTGAGGAATAATTTTTTTTTGCAAAACTAACCCTATGAAAGCATATCATAGCGCGTGCGAAAGGTAAGTCCATGGACACTGAAAGAAAAAGATTTTGATATGTATTAGTTAAGTCAAAGGTAACTGCGATTTGAAAATGAGATTAAATTATGACAAGATTCCATACCATAAGGATAAGGATTCGCAGGCTTGTCAAAAAATTTGCAGTATCTATGGGAGACGTAAAGATTGGTTCAATTCTATCCATTGTCAAATTTGCCCTCTGGTAGACCAGTTATTTTACTTTATGCCATAGCTGCGAAGCTAAACTTTTACTAAAACACAGTGTCTTGAACAATAAGGCGGGTTAGGAAAACAAGTTCGATACTTGCGCCCAACAGGAATTAGTCAGAAGCCTCTCCGCCTTCCCTAACAAATTCTCTGCCTTTCATCACGAAAATGCCAGACTTCACACATAGTAAATGACTCGAATAAAAACTAAAGAAGGTTGACTAAGAAGTTTTGAACGATACATCATCTAACTTAAGCATTGCTTCATTCGACAACCATTTTCTTCATTTTCTGCACAATTCACTTGAGGTTGTTTAGGTGAGCATAAAAGGGGGCTGTGAAAATCATTTGGCCCACTTTTTCCAGAAGATATCCCAGAAGTCCTACATTTATGCCCCAGTGGTTTTGTCGGAAAACTAGCGGAAGCCTATCAATCATATTTAATTAATAAAATTTATTTAAAATATAAGAAAAATGTTTTTCAGTTTTTCGGAAAGAACTTATTGAGGTTTTTCGTTGAACTAGTATATGTCACACAGTTATATAATTTCGAAATTATAAATAAATATGTGTGATGGATGCAACATTCAGATGGAATTGAGACAGGCACGCTTCTTGCTGTACCGATCAATTCAGAATCACTTTTGGAATCGATATATATGTGTCTCTCCGTCTTGCCGTTTTGATTTGATTCAAAGAAGAAGGCTATTAAAAAGGGGACGTACGGGTCGCACCACTTTTTTGAGCATTGCCCATAAAACCCTGTGGCTCACTAACTTATTTACTGCTTTTTTTATTGTAGATTTACTAAGCAATAGTTTGTATGCAACGTTGTCTCTGAACTGAAAGCTTTAACTTCCTATTACTTCCAATGTTTAATCATAAGACCACCTTGCGACTGCAAACTTTCTAGAAATTTCAATATAAGAATGAATAGAAGATGGAAGATTTCATTGCACTAACAAATCTAGCTATATTGCTATATTGGAAATCCATTAAGACTCTGGAAATCCGGCACTTGCCATATATTGACAGAAAATTAGAAATTTTGATAAATTTAGAAATAAAAAAGCTAAAACCGCAATCAGTTGTAACGCTAATAAGACGGATGGACGGTAGTCTTAAAACGAATTTCTTTTCTAAATAGTAAAGATTTGTAAATAGTGCCAAAAGGCGTTTTTTTCGCACACGTAACAATGTGTGTGGCTTTTGCAGGCATTTCAATCCAATCCAGGGAATGCTTTTAAGCAGTAACAAATAGAAATGAGAGCGAGAGAGTAAACGATTTTACTCTCAAAGTCAGAACAAAAGAGAAGAAATGCGCCTAAACAGCACAGTGAGTGAGTCGTTTGCTACCAGATAAAATTATTGAAAAATAAATCTTAATAAATAAATTACGAATGTCTTGGGTTAGTTTGCGAAAAAATAACGTTGATAACTGTGCTCAGCTAATTCACACAATTTTAAAAAGAAAAAGCAATGTTTTGTAAATATTAATTGCCTATTAAACAATTCATCAAAAGCAGTAGGGAAGCATTAAACAACAAACAGCAAATGTGTGAAAACTTTGCTCTTAAAAATGTGTAATAATAAATAAAATTCAGTGAGTGATTGATTGTTGATCGTGAAAAGTGGAGATTTGACGCTTAAAAAAGGAAATATAAAACGTGTTCAAACGCTATACAATGTCGGAATTCACTACGCCAGTAACAGCAACAGCTGTTTCAGTGCCATCTACATCGTCTCGACTATCATTAGGAGAAGGTAGGGTAGGGAGGTGAAGCAACTCGGATCTACATTACAAGTGAATTCATTTGTTAGTTAAATAAATAACTATTGCTTTTCTTTTCCATCGTTCATGATTTTCATATCTTACTTATCTTTTACGCACATGTGTTTGAAACTTGTTTTCTAAACCGAGAAAAATAAACGCCTTTCTTAATTGTTATATCCTACATTACCAGAAGGGTCTGAGATAGAATCGCCCTGTTGTCCGTCTTGCCTCATTGTCTTCAACTTTCCTTCCGTAATTTTTCAAATATTTTGATAAAATTTTGACCCAATGGCGAATGCTATTCAAAGTGGTCCCGACCGGACCGCTTTTTCGGCCACTTCCCATACAGCTTATTATAAAAAGTCATTATATTAAGCAAAACGGTGTAGTGTTTTTAATAATGGGCCGTGAAACGCTAGGACGCCTCTATTTGTGACTTTTCAAAAATTTCCTATACCCAACCATATACTTACATATGAACACTGTCAGTAGAGTATATATACTATATACTATATCAGTTTTACTATAAGCTTGCAACTAAAGATTAGTAAAGAACAACTCCTTGCTGCCCCCATGCATTATCTATTTGGGAAAGTTTTATTAATAATATTAATGATTATATTGTTTTCATTTTATTTATTACTATAATATTTATCATTAAAAATTGTAATACGTTTCCTCCTATCAAAAGAGAATTTGTGCAGGAGAAGTAAAATGGTTTAATATATCTCCATATTAACTATGTCGGTCTGCGCGTGTTCTCTTTTTTATTTCATACATCACTTGCGGTAGAGCCTACATTAAGTTAAGATAGACCTAGCTGCTATTATACCGATCGATTCAGAATTATTTTCGGAATTGATCTAAGCTTGTATGTCCGTCTGATGCCTGCCCATGTAACTTTGTGTTCAAATTACCGTTCGCAACTTGGTACACCGGCCTGTTGAAAATGGTTCGGATCGGTCAACTTTTCCGACCGTTCCACATATAGCGCCCTGTTCTGGAAAGTCATTGTACGTATGAAAATTGCAAGTAGTAGTATTTCGGCATTCTAAATTGATATGAAAACTTTTGGACAGGCTGAAGCAATTTTTTGAACCCCGACTGAGCTTATGTTCACGTGACAAAAAGATCTAAATTTAAATGCTTCATAATCAAAATTAGCTCACAATAGTAGTTTAAGTTAAAAAAAATGTATCCTACCAAATTTGGACCACCCGCGCCTATTTTTGGATTCTGCATTATATAAAGATTTTCATGAAAATTTTTGTTTTTTAGGACAGAGAGGTATAAGTTTTAATATTCTGCAATGAAAATTGATCTCCTATAGCAGTTTGGTATAACAATCAACTGTACTCAATTTTTAAACATCTTGGTCGTAATCATTCTGACGGAAAGTAAGTCTTTGTTTGCAAACAAGGCCAACTGGGAATTAGCAGTGCTCTAATAGTAGCTTCATATAAAAACAGGGCATAATTTTTTGTATTCTATGGCAAAATAGGAATTGTGTTAAACAATGTGGTGTAGGGTGTAGCCCGACTATAATATTTTCGCTTGTTTTAGGAAAAAATATATGCTCATCTTCTCTCATAAACTTTGGGAAATCTTATTTGGATACTTAATACCATGTCATAACGTGCCATATTTAATTTAGCTAAGCTTGCTTTATTAACTAATAGTAATAATTATTAACGGTTGCTGTTGCGATTAATACTAGCGTGCCAGCCAGACTATAAAATCCCGTGCGGTTATGAACATTGCGCTTAGTAGTCTTCGAAGAAATAGTTCGTCTTAATGGGCAGTGGTAACAAGTTAAATAACTTTACAACATTAACAAAGAATAGCCTTGAGGATGACAATTACTTATGGTCAGGCGGCGAACAACGTTTTCTTATACAAATATTGTGGTTTTCGCGTGCGGATAAGCTTATGAAGAAATACCAGATTTCCGATGTTAAGGCAGCTTTGAAGATTGGCGATATGGTCGTTGTGTCAAAATAGTTGCATTCAGAAGAAAGCTTCAGAGAGCCTATCATCGTATTTTAAAATTTGTTTTAAGCAAACTCATCTTGTTGTTTAGGCCTAATATTGACATCTTTTGAGTATTCATTAAGAAATGGTATTGACTTTCTGTTTAGCACCTAACGCATAATCGATCCAGGCATGCTCGTCTGTGTACAGTCTGCGGTAAGCGTAGGCTTTTGGCGAAAATATTGAGAGTTCTTCCACATAAATTGTTAGTGGAAATGGTAAAAGTGTTCACCTACCCTACGCTATAAAAGGGAGACAACTCTGTCTTCGAAAGCAGAATGTTTGATTTTTTGTTCATTTCTCATAGACTATAACGGATAAAATGATAAAGCTTTACAAGTGTATTTTGCGAAACATTCTACCTGTACTTGCATCTGGGGCTAGAATGGCAAAACTCCCTTACCTAATATTACAGTGCATGAGAATTTCGCTTTGGCTCTCTCTTTAACTCTTTTGGAGTTATTTGTTCTACCACAATGGCGTATCTGAAAGTTGTGAGAGGGAGCAAATCCTTTATGGCATAAAATATTCTTCATGATCGAGCTTACCATAATTCTCTAACTTGTTTTTCTTTCATTTACACCGCTTTTCACAATTGCTGTGGGCGTACCTGACGTCAAATTATTAATACACGGGGTGTGTTCCAAAAAAACCCTGTTTTTTGTTTTTTTATTTATCTGTTAAAATATATAGCATGGCACGAGGCAACAGATATGCCGACATCGTTAGCAACTTCTCCAGTAAAGATTCAACGATTCTCCAAAGCAATTTACAAAGATTTTTTCTTGCTCAAAGTAGACTCGCCAAGTGGTCTAGTCAGCACTTTAAAGGAGTTGTAGCCCTTGATTTTACTTTCTACAGAAAATTCAATACAGATTCTTTGATCGATTTTTTCGATAGCAAAAAATTGCCAAACACACTGCAACATGTCTAACAAACTAAAATGGCTGGAAAAGTCAACACATGTTAGGAACATGTATATGAACATAACAAAAAAAAAAAAAATTCGAAAATCCTACCTAGTCCAAGTAATTTGGAAAGTCGCCTTTTTCCTTCGAGCAAACCTCGTATTTCACAAGCAATTCCCTGTTGGTTGTGGTCCTATATCCACCTCATTGCCTTACTTGTTAATTTAATCGCCCATAAACGCATACATTTTCGTTGTCGTATGGTTACATTCGGAGTCAACTCAACCGATTGCGGTTACACTCGTCAATATTATTGCATTAAATTTATTTGAACATTTTTTTTGCATTTCTCGCCATTTCCAACTGATTAAACAGAATTGAGCTTAAAAAAAGTTTAATAAAACGCATTTATATCAATAATCAAGTTTTTCTTTGTTTTTTCTTTTATATCTCATACAATTCATTACATGCATTCATTGCACGCTACGCCACTTCTAGCGATGGTAGATTATTATGCACGCGAATGCATGCTCGCGAATGCATGCACGACCTTTAATTAGTTGAAATATTCCTGCTTTTTATTCAATTTGGAACCGTTATGCTTTACATCGCAGGGCAGGAGCAGGAGCAATTGCGTTAAATCAATCTTTTACGATAGCGATCAGTTCGGAATCTTTTTCTGAATCGATCTAAACTTGTTTATCCGTCTGTCCTCCTTATGTTATTGTGTTCAGTTTGATGGTCGAAATTTTTGTGATATTTCTATGAATTTGTTTTGACCGAAGGGTAGTGAGCAGTATTGAAAGTGGTTAGAATCGTACCGTCATTCTCCACATCATGCCACATTTAAAAAATCGATATAAAACAAATTTTGCAACTTTTAATAGTTCGATCGAATCAAGCATTTTAGAATACTAAATGAATTTAAGGATTTTGCAAGAAATTGCATCAATCTTTGAATCTCGCCCATATTTATATTCTTACAAGAAGTAAACCTTCATAACACGTCAAAACCTGGATTCTAGTAGTTTGCGATAAAAGTTGGTTGCAAAATGTGCTAAATCTTCTACCAAACGCACGGGTCCTCAAAACGAGTGAGCCTTTATACGGCTACCTAATGTAGTACAAGTTTAATCCTTACACAGGGCAGCATCGAAAAATAGGTGTAGATGGTCCAAATTTTGTAGAATTCATACTTGTATGAAATCAGTCAATCACCACATCAATTTTCATCACCACATGTTAAAACTTAGACTTTTCTGCTCCTTATTAAGGTCGGATCCAAAATATAGGGCGAGATGGCCTAAATTTGGTAGGTTAATTTTTTTATGTTAAATTACTATTACGATATAATTTTCGTCATGACGCATTGAAAATTATATCTTTGTGTCATATGGACTTCAGTTTTCGTTATATGAGACGGTGTGCAAAATATTGCCCCAGCCCATCGAAAGTTTTCATACCAATTTGAAATGCCGAGATACTACTACTTGCAATTTTTATACATACAAAGGCCAAGAGAATTTGAAATTTGTAATTTTTATATATATATATAACGACTTTTTGGAATAGGGTGCTATATGGCCAGTGGTCCAAAAAGTGGTCCAATCCGAACCGTTTCGAATAGTATTTGTAGGTAGGTTCGTAGAGTCAAAACACGTCACTGTACCAAATTTCATCAAAATATCAGAAAAATTGCGCTTGAATACAAATTTACAGGGACAGACATCAGACGGACAGACGGGCTTAGATCAATTTAGATTATGATTCTGAATCGATTGGTATAATAAAAGGTGGGTCTACCTTAAGCCCTTCTGCGTGTTACAGACGTCCGCATTAACTTAATATACCCAGTACCACAAGTGGTGGTAGGACATAATGAGGTTGTCAGCTCCTGCAAATCCCGAAAAAAAACGCCTGATGATGTCTCTGTGATGTTGCTCAGAATAAGGCTGTTGAAAATGTGATAGGATATTTAACGACGGGAGTCTTACTTGCTTACAATATTTGAACTTACTTTAGTTTCAGTTTATTTTATGATTTGTGTAGGTGTGGTTTATATGTTGTACGAAGCATTTGAAAGCGGCTGATTTTAAACTAGCAGCTGAATTATTTACAAATAAATATATAAATCAAGAAAGGAAGAACTGTACCGTTCAGCATGTAAGGATCTATTGATATCTATTTGGATACTCCTGATAGCTTTGATATTCTGAACATAACCATCTATCAATTATTATGGCATTAGCGTCCATCCAATAAATCAAGGTTACGTCAAGCAAGTATTTATATAGCGTATTATTTCTAAACTGCTTAAAAGGCAAAAAAGTAGTCCGAACTCTCGGGACGCGACTAGTTTCCAGTGGCTTTGGTGTATTTTCCACACATATAAACAACAGAAATAGAAACTCGTACTTTTTTAATCGTAGGTTGAGGCGGATCTATTTGACTCGCATTGCTCATTTGCACGCAAAGGGATTGAGGATAAATGTGGGCGAGAAGATTTATTGATAACAAGTGAAAAGACTATAATAGGCCGCGGCCATACATTAAATACCCTACATCACCTAAAGCTTATTTTGAAAGGCCGTTATATGGTGGTCCAAAAGATCTTAACATCGAAAAAATAGTTCGATCCGAAACATTTTCAACTCAGTTCATTGTTGGGCTAAATTTCCCTAAATTTCATCAAAATATCTCAACAATTTTATAATAAACATAAGAAAACAAGGCGGACCGACGTGCAGATAGACGTGCTCAGATTAATGCAAAAAGCGATTCCGAAATTGATTCTGAATCGATCCGTATAATAGAGAGTGGGTATATCTAACTTAATATATGAATGCTTCACTTGCCAAATCGATTAACTCCATTTTAAATTTTATGAAATTTTAATATCATTATTAGAGAAATATATTATATCTCTAATAAAATTATTATTAGAGAAATTCGTTTTGAATATGTACAGTTAGGAGTTAATGGAGTGCTTTGATGTTAAAATTAGTATATGCCGGAAAGTTTCAATTTTTAACATTTTGTGATGATGATTAGTTTTTGGCAAATTACCCATCGAAAATTTGAATAACTTAGGCTAATTCTTTAGACGGCACCATATATAGGGGATCCCCCGTAAAAGCCAAACGTTTCATGGTGGCAAAGGAGCTTCGATGGAAATTGCGCGTTTGCCCAATGTATCACTTTTATTATATTATTATTAAGAAAGTGTATGAGTGACGGTATTAGGCGAAATCGTGTAGGGTATCTAATTCTGCCTTGCTCGACTATTTTGAAAATTAATTTGTGAAAATCGATCGCCTTCAACCTTCTCGATCTTAGGGAATCTTTCATGCTCCAATTACTAGATTATTAAAGTATTACATCATAAAAGAACAAACCAATCTTTTCGGTATGTGCAAGTATGTATGACGGCCATTTGTTTGGATATATCTGAAAACATTGAAGAAGATAACAAATGCACAAATAATTTAATTTTTTCATGAAACGTTTATGACTGGATGTTTTACAGTGTATTATAAAGAAAACCGTGAAGTTAGCGTAATCAAGTGCTAACCGTACGTATAACACAATGAACTTAACTATATTTGCTAACGCATTTTATTGTTTCATGTTTTCATATATTTTTATCGCGTTTACATTATTTATTATTAGTATATGATCAAAAAAAAAAAAAAAAGAAGAGCTCAAAATTTTATATCTTCCCGAGATATAATTTTAATAGAAAATTTAAAAATAATTTTTAAAAATAAATAAATGAAATACTCTTTTTACAGCTGATCTCTATAAGGAGCAATTACCTCCATTGGGTCGCAAACTTCGCGTAGCATTAACTACCTGTTGTCGTCCCCAAACGATAGTACAAAAATTTCCTATTATATCGTGGTTCCCGCGCTATCAGTGGTCATATTTGTTGCAAGATTTCATAGCTGGTTTTACGGTCGGACTTACAACAATACCCCAAGCGATTGCCTACGGTGTAGTAGCTGGTCTCGAGCCTCAATATGGCTTATATTCTGCTTTTATGGGCTGTTTTACGTACATTATATTTGGTTCCTGTAAGGATGTTACTATAGGTGAGTATGTCAACTACTCAAAACGATATTTATCTAACAAGTTTAAATTATGTCTTATAGCTACGACAGCAATTATGGCTTTAATGGTTCAACCATATGCCAGCATAAGTCCAGATTATGCAATTCTGTTATGCTTTTTGGCGGGTTGCACAATATTGTTGCTAGGTTTATGCAATTTGGGCGTATTAGTACGTTTCATATCCATTCCGGTCATAACGGGTGAGTACAAGCTTTAAATTTGATGATGGAATCTTAAGCAGGCGGAAGGACAGACTGATAGGCATGTCAAAGTTGGTAATGAAAAAATGAATAGGAGTCTATGGAATCTCTAGAATTTTTTCCTAAAAGACTGCTTTGATAAAATGAAAGCAAATCGCACTTCCTATGGTTCATATACATAAGTTTACGAAATCTTTTACGATATTAGCATATTTTTGTTGTTTAAGCTATTTTAAGAATTCGTAGCATTCAATTCCACTTTCAAACCTAAATTAAATTATGTATACAAAAAAAGTCTATCAACATTTTAGGAACATGTCAATTAAATTTTCTTATCATCTACTGGTTTAACTCGAACAAGAAAACTTGTTCTTGCTTCAACATAGGATATAACAAAGTAAATAGTATTTATTTGTATTAAACAAATTTAAGCCTTGAAAAGATTAGATTTATAAATGAAAGAGAACCCGCGCTCTGGCCGGTCAATCAGTGCAACTTCTGAAGGAATACATATATAAGTGAATTGTTCAATTCCAATCAAGTTTATTTAAACAAGCCTATCAATTAGGTATTTGGGATTCTTCTGGCATTAGGTGTTGTTTTGTAGTTTCAAGTGAAGGCAATTAAGCTCATCGTTTCAATCGTGCGATTATAAATCAAGGAACGATAAAGTCAAAGTGGTCAGAATCCAAAGATCGCTGCAAAGGCATTTCTTTAAATAATCATCTTGAAATAATTAAAGCAATCGTTCAGAATCCCTCGAATCAATTGATGCAAAAGTCTTGATTTAGGGAAAAAAATGTAATCTTCTCTAAAATAATTAGTTGACTTGCAGAAGTAAGTTGCAATGGAAGAATTGAACAAGTTGCATTATTTTGGAGCATCCACCAGATCAAGTGTAAATACACATATATATAACTTTCATTTGCCTCAAAATCACGAAGAAATTTCTAGGCGGTACAATTATAATATAGGCGGATGTGTTGCATTTAACCTAAAATATTGGAGTAAATCATTTTATTGGAGTCAGAGTTGCTTTAGAAAACTTGGAAAAGAAATAAGTAAGAAAATTATATTCAGTTGGGGGCGCAAAAAGGGGAACGGGAAAAAAATTTATCTTTCACTTTTAATATTTCAGTAAAAGGTATTGTTAAGAAACATTAACCTTTCACGACGGGACATCGACTTGGCTTATCTCCCAGTCTCTTCTGTTCTCCCAGTCGTTTTATTTGATACCCATATGAGTGTTATTTTTAAGAAAAAATTTATTCGCATTCTACTCTCCAAGCTTTCTTATTTGATACCTATACCGCTGGTATTATTAAGAAAAAATAGTCGACCAAGTCCATCATAGTTATTTCAGACATTATTTTACGCGGATAATATATCTTGATTTGAAGAGTGTATAAAATCATTGTAATCACTTTAAACATTTGTCCACCTTATGATTAACAAACGTAAAACTTTAAAAAAGCGGAAAAAAGGAAATGTAATCACTTATAAGCCGTTATGGACCTGGCCGAATTTTCCATTTTTGCACATAAATAGTAGAGTTTTCCGTAAAGCGAATGTAGAAAATTTTAGTCTTCTATCAAAAGCCAAATTTGAAGTCGATATCTTCATATTTGCGACGAGGAGAGTGTCAGCAACACACAGCCGCTCAGACAGCCAGTCATGGCTTAATCGATTCAGAATTTCACGCCGACCTAGAATATATGCACGTTATAGAATCTCTGAAGCTTCCTGTTGAGCGTTGCAAGCATTATGACAAAACGAGTAAACCCCCGCCGTTCTTTCCTGATGAGTGTAATAAATGAAAAGATATAATGCGACACGGCCCATCATCAAATGCCAAACCACAGCCTACAGTTATTCATATAACGACTTTCCAAACTTAGGTGCTATTGGAAACACCAAATTTAATCAAAGTATATCGAAGAATACAAGATTGAACACAAGAAGACGGATAGATGGATAGACGAGCTGATATAGCTTAGCGGTGTAATGAAAAATGGGTGGATCTCACGTCCTCCTTGGTGTTACACACATCCGCACGAACTTAATGTACTCTCATACGATAAGAGGTGTAGGGTATAATTAGAGATGGCTTAGAAAATCTCTGCGTCCTATTAATCGCTTGAACGATGCGTAAAAAGCAGAAGTAATTGAATCGACTGAAGTGTTGTTTTAGAAATGCCAATCGTTAAGCCTTTTGAAGGGGAAATCTTTATTTTTTTTACCTTAAAAATGCCACCATATGCGCTGCATTAACTTGCTGCGCATCGACATTGATTGCTAAATTGAGACGTGTGCTTTGAAAGCTTTTGACAAACGCGCATTTCAAAATGTTCATCTTTATTGGTGGCATTTTTACTCACCATGTGACTTTTCGCTTAAGATTGACCTTAAATTTCTCACTCACTTTACTATCATCATGTATCTAAGATTGCATATGTAAAGTCAATGAGATGGACCCAGGAATTCATTCGCTCATAAACGATAATGAGAGGAATACAAATAAAGTGGAGTTTTTGTAGATGGCTGTTAGTTTGTTTAACCGTGAAGGTGCGCCATATACAATACAAAAACACGCCCGATGTCGCACAGGCCAATAGTACTTGAGAAGCCTCCCGTCGGCCTTGAGAGCGCAATAAATTCATTAAATGAGGTTGTTTGCTCTGAAGAGGCCGGTGATGCGTATCAAAAGACGTTAAGCAAAATTAGCGATTGTGGTAACCAAGATTCCGAAATAGGGGGACTTGAATTGAAGACTTCTTCCAGCGTACTGGAAACTACGGCGAGAGAAGAAGGTAAGGAAAAAGGTGTGTTCGAAGATATGCGAGAATATAGAAACAGAACATATTTTTACTAACGCGCTTCGAATCTGATGGTTCGACGTATGAGGGGCAACAGGTGGAGGATCATTTGAATGAGTGCAGGATCAGCTCAGTTTAAAAAGTTTAAAACTTATTAATAGCGCTTTATGAGTAGATTAGTTGAGTGACTAAATTGCAGGCACCAAATGAATTACTATGTAATAGCTAGACATATAACGTAACTGCAAATAAACTATATAACAGCAATAATAACAATTTATGTATTAAGTAAACAGATTGCTACAATAGTTTATCAACTTTCGTGTAATCAATGAAGTGATTGCAGCTTAGGACACGGTGTAGCAATAATTACAATAACTCAATAAAGTTTTCTACCTTGGTCTGTATATTAGATTAGGTTTCTTAACAGTCGCAATATAACTTCCTTCACACTGATTAAATGTAAATAAAACTTCAATGAATCATACAATGCAATGTAAAATAGGCTTAGTAAGAAAAAACATAATAAACGTGCTCATGCCAGCCATAATAGTGAAATGGAGATATGTGCGATAAGATCAAAATAGATTACCCGAGTTGCAGTCTAAGATCTTTTATAGAGAGTTACATTTCTTCTTCTTCTGTACAAAAACACAATTAAGAAAATCATATTTGGCTGTGACCGAGTCTGTTATAGCCATCGTCTCCACCTTGGAAAAGATTAAAGAAAAAACTGAAAAAACCTAATTTCCATACTCTTCATAATATTAGGTGGGCCTGACTGATTTTACCATTTTTGTGCTTTATATACGGAATGAGAAAAAATCAAATTTTTTTCATATTTGAAACAGAGATGCTGCACCGTAGGCGGGTCCCTCGTGCTCTTTAGCGCAATTTTAGTATCAACCTGCGTGCAAACATCTCTAATATTTCCGCTAAATTTGAAGTCAATAGCGATCATTACCACAAACATTACATGGGCTCGCAAACAGACACACGGTCATGCTTAAGTCGATTTAGAATTTTATGATGATCAAGAATATATGTCTTTTATGGGCTTGCGAAACTTCCTTCAGAATAATGCAAACGATTTTTGACAACCTGAATATATCCACACCCGTCGGTAGCGGACGAAAAAATAAGATTCCCTTATGGGTCCACTTTTACAAAGTATATAAGTGCTACTCCTCGTCCTCAGCCCGCTTGCATTATGAATTTTGGGGCAACCACTGCATCAGGTTGGTTTTCAAGAAATTCCATTTTTACGACTTGACCCTCTTAAGTCTGTCAGCGAGAATAGATGATACGAATAGTAAAAGTTTTTCGTATGATCCGCAAAGGTGAATAGAGTTAATGATTTCTACGATATTAGCTTCATTTTATGGGCTCATCAGGTGCCTTCAAACCTTAATGTAAGGGAGGAAGGAACGAGATGAGCCTATCTTCAGTACCCGGGCATTCAGGCATCGAAGGCAATGGGAGAGCTGACTGTTTAGGCAACAGAGAAGCGCGTAGGTTGATGTGGGCCCGGAAATTTTTTGTAGCGTATCGAGAGATTGGTATCGCAATAGGCACAGGGAAAATCAGCAAGCCATTGGAAGCAAAGTGAGGGACAACGTCAAGCTAAAAGAAGCATCAAATTCTTCAGCATAGCACATAAACTGCTCGAACTAGGGCCGCAAGCGAGTACAATAGATCTTTTTAGGTCGCGGTACGAATTGTTCACCACTTAACATCACATTACATGTCATTTATCTGCATGAATAGCCGAATAGGTAAGAGTCACGACTATGAAGCCAGTGTTTGATGGTTAACATCTGGTTGCGGTAGAGCTTACTTTGGTTGTAATTATAGCGAATGCTTAGGAAAAGCGTAACACTTATCGATTGGGCATACATCCACTAGGCTTTGGTCACCACCACCAACTTTCTATTTCTTTCTCCTTCCTCACTTCTTGTTGACCGCCACCGTCTACGATCGATTGGTCAAATCATAAAAAAACATTTTTTATTAATTTAAAAAATGGTTATACTATTTTTCCTTGAATAAACATTTTTAGAAGCATAACTCTTAGCGGTAAATGTACTAACAATAGTCTATTTTTATACGGGAGAAATTTGGCGTTCAGATAGTACCTTAGATTACGTGAGGCAAATAAGAGGAATTGTTTCTGCACAGATTCAAGCCTTTCTGTGTAGTTATCATAACCGGGAGGACGAAAAACACGAACACATTTTACGCTAAGTCTCCCTAATGGCTTGAATAAGCAATGCCCGGATTTTGACCAATATTTTCATATTTTCACATACTTTCTTTCTTTTCAGGTTTCACGATAGCTGCTGCTATTACTATAGCTAGTGCGCAAATCAATAATTTGGTCGGGCTTGTTAGTAAGTTTAATTTAAATAAAAAATTATCATTAATATGAAATAATTCATTTTATTAAAGGTCCTTCGAAAGCTTTGATACCGTCTTGGAAATTTTTTTTTACGCATTTAAATAAAATCAGCCGAAACGATGCCTTACTGGGAGCGAGTTCTTTAGTATTTTTGCTAATAATGAAAGTAAGAAATTCCTTTCCCAACAAAATTAACAATATTTATAGATGTGGTCTCGCTTGTCTAGAAAACCAAAGATATTAGTTACGGGAATCGCATATTTTGGAAATATGTATCTTTGTCTCGTAACGCCTGTACCGTTATAATTGGTACATTTCTAGCTTTCATTCTAAGCCGTGACGGCTCGCAACCTTTTAAAGTTACTGGCAACATAACACCGGGTCTACCGCCATTTCGGCCGCCCCCTTTCAGTACTAATGTCAACGGAACCACAGTACCATTTACTGAAATGATTGGTACGGTGGGTACATCTCTAGCTTTTATACCAATGGTGGCAATATTGGAAATTGTTGCAATAGCTAAAGCATTTTGTAAGTCTTAGAGATAAGAGAAAAATTGCGAATTGATTTATTAGAATTTCATATTTTGATACATTTCTCAGCGAAAGGTAAAATTGTGAATGCCTCTCAGGAGATGGTAGCCTTAGGTATGTGTAATATATTGGCGAGTTTTGTTTCCTCTATGCCTGTCACGGGATCGTTCACGCGCACAGCTGTCAATAATGCCAGCGGAGTGAAAACTCCCTTGGGTGGATTAGTAACTGGTTCCTTAGTTTTGATGGCTTTAGCTTTCTTAACACAAACTTTTTACTATATACCAAAATCTACTTTGGCTTCCATTATTATAGCTGCTATGATATCTTTAGTGGAACTAAAGAAAGTCAAAGACACTTGGGTGGCAAAGAGTAAGCATCTGATTTTTGTTATACCCTACACCACTTGTGCTACAGGGTATATTAAGTTAGTGCGGACATATGTAACACGCAGAAGGGCTTAGCGTAGACCCGTCTTTTATTATACCGCTCCAATCAGAATCATAATCTGAATTGATTTAAGCCTGTCTGCTCGTCTGTCTCTCTGATGTCCGTCCATGATATTTTGATGAAATTTGGTACAGTGACGTGTTTCGACCCAAGGATGAGCGCTATTGAAAATGATTCGGGTTAGTCCACTTTTTCGACCATTCCCCGTATAACGCCCCCTGCTAAAAAGTCGTTACATGGAAAAAAATTCAAGTTTCAGAATTTCTTTGCGTTTATATCAAGACAAGATATAACTTTCACGTTCTTAATAAAAATAAGAATTGTGTTAGACAATGTGGTGTAGGGCACTTAACGGTTGGCTTTTCCGACTGTAATCTTGTTTTTTTTTTGTTTTTTTTTACATAAAGATAATAACCAGTAATGTTTTATTTAAAATTATTTCAGAAGCCGATCTTTTCCCGTTTCTCGTTACTTTATTGCTTAGTTTATTCTGGAGTTTAGAATATGGTATACTCAGCGGTACAATTGCGAATTGTTGGTTTATTCTCTATAGCAGCGCTAGACCAAAAATTGAATTATCTACCGAAAAAGTAAATTTATTTCAATTTCAACAGTGTTTCCCTTAACATGGGTAGGGTTTTTCCTTTTTTTAGATTTCTGAAGAAGTCTTCGGCTTGGTGACTATTAAGCAGAAACTCGATTATGCGAGCGCTGAATACGTTAAAGAAAAAATAGTGACGTTTGTCCACAAACAGCAATCGGAAGGGATTAATCTTGTCATTATACTTGGCAACGAAATCCATGGCATTGATTCTACAGTAGCTGCAGTAAGTTCCAAAACAAGTTTTAAAATTTCCTTACATTTAATAAATATAAATTATCCTTCCTTCAGAATATCATTACTTTAAAAGAAGACCTGCAAGTTCTCAATTGTCAAGTATTGTGTTGGAATTGGAATATATCGGCAGCGGGAGTGATTTGCCGCTTACAGCCTGAAATGCGTCCAATTTTTAAATTTAATAAAACCCTTGAAGATATAATTGAGGAATATCGTAGCCAACGTCTATCAAACAAAGCCTCACAAAATACTCTTTACTCTGAGACGTAATTTTTTAAATAAATCAGAGATCGTCATAAATTTTACACAAAATTTGTCAATTTGTAAATCATTTACGCAGAAAGAACTGAAGGTCATTCAAATAATCACTTTGATCTTTCATTTAACATAGCAATCGTCAATCTCCTTTTCAGACGAAATCAGATATTCAAGAATAAGATCAGTTCTCTCGTAAAAGCCTTGAAAAAGCCATCAGGGGACCTCAAAGTCAACGGCAGCGCGTTGCTGTATCGAGCTGAACGTTCACTCAAAAAGTTGAATATGGTCCGCATTATAGTACAAAAAGCTTTCTATTCGACCTAGAAAATTGTAGTCAAAAGAATTGGGCGCTTTTGACTGAAAAATTTTATAATGATAGATGAAGAACCCAAATTTTTGGTATTTATGGAGAGAGAGTTTCAAAAATGCATAAACGAAGACAAAGCGTGTAAGGCGGTTGACAATTGCAAGTGACACGACGGTCAAGCCCAGAATGCTTCAACACAATAGCAGAAAATAAATTTTCTTTCAATTGCATAACGAATTCGAACGAAAAAAAGAAATAAACAGGTAACCTTACACCATCCTACAATTATGGACGTTATAATGAAGTGGTCGAAAAAGTGGTCCAACCGTTGGCCGTAACGTTCATCCTTAGGTCAGCATACAACAATGTATCAATTTCATCAAAATATCTCAAAAATTGCGCCGGAGGAAACAAGACGGGGGGACGAACAGGCGGACAGACGAGCATACATTGATTCAGAAAGTGATTCTGAATAGATCGGTATAATAAAAGGTGGATCTATGTCAAGTTCTTCTTTTCAAAATAAGGCAATACATGGCAAGTTGTCGAAAAAGTAGTCCGATGCAAACTATTTTCAAAAGCGCTCGTCCTTGTGACAAAACAGGTTTGTGTACCAAATTTGATCAAATTAGGAAAAATTTCGGCATTTATAGCGAACACAAGAAAACAAGGCTGGAGGAACGATAGGCGGATAGGCAAGCTTAAGGCTATCCAGAAAGTGACTCCGAATAGATTGGTAAGCAGAAGCTAGATTTATCCGAAGTTCTTCTTTTTAAAATAAGGCAATATATCGAAAGTGGTTCGAATAGCGCTGGTTCTTGTGCTAAAACATGTCGGTGTACCAAAGTTAATCAAAATATCTCAAAAATTGTGACCTTAACAAGAGAAAACAAGACGGACAAACGGACAGACAAGCTTGGTAATTCTTAATCGACTAGTATGACAAAAGGTGCGTCAATCTCAATTCCTTTTGGGCGTTTCATATATGCCCGCAAACTTAATACACCCTAGATGGTGTAAGGTATAAAATTTCAAATTTCCTTATATTTCTAAGATTTGGTGGATTTAAAGTTAAGAACTTGTGGGGCATATACACATACATACACGCGAACAGACAATTTCAGGCGTCGCTATGTCTGACTGCAGTTGATATTAGAAACCTAAATTCGTAGAAGTTTACTGCGTACAAAAAATGTCAAAACAAACTCATCTTTTATTAATTAAGTCATTAAATACGCACGCACATCTTACTTACTATTATTGTTTGTACCATTGACCCAATGTGCATCTGTGGTCACTTTGTCTGGTAATTCACAAGTACTTGAAAAATGATTACTTTATAAACCACTTGACGGCTTTCCACAACAACAGAGAATTAAGGACTTGCGTACATAAATCTTTATATGCGGGCTCATTTTCTAAAGGGCATCCACTTTTTTGTATGTGTGGTTTGAATACCAGGAAAATTTACGTTTACTCTTGTGAATTTATTTAGAAAATATGAATGAATATGAATGTTTTTTTATTACTTTTTTCTTTTAACTATAAATTCCCAATACACGTTTGCCTTCGGGATCGAAAGGACTTCTCAAGTAACACTGAGCCTTGTAACGTTTTCCGAGAATATCAATTTCATAGTTACCCTGCTGTATATAATCTGTATCGATAATTTTGTTGTCCGCTCTTTGTAAATACGTTTGAGCGAATGGCTTGCCCAAGTGATAGGCATACTCAGCTCGCCTTAAAAATCCGACCGGTTCATTATTCCTATAAACTCCTTCCAGACCCCAAATGGGTATTTGTTCATCTAAAGTTAGATATACTATTCGCTTTGTAAGACCATCTTTTCTTTGCTGATCAATAGCTGATTTTCCTTTATAAAGACCCTTTTTGCGACAAGTGAAGCCTAATCCTGCTTCTAATGGTGTATCATCGGGCCTTAAATCAAAGCTCCATAAATGATAGCCTTTCTCACTACTTAAGGCATATAAAGCACGATAGCCGGCATTGCGTAAGTTATTTGATGCACCTACTGTCATAAGAGATCTGTATACCGACGCACAGTACTCTTTGGGTACATGCAACTCGTAGCCCAATTCACCCACAAAACTAACACGCAATAGTCGAACGCCATATTCACAGCGAGAATTGTTAACGTCTCGACATTTAGTTAACCGTGTACTGTTTGGCGGTATATTCGCATCGGTTAGCTCGCAGTCCACAATTTGTTGCAATATATCACGCGACTTAGGGCCTTGTATTGATATCACGCCCACATCAGCAGTGACATCTCTAACGGAAGCCTTGAAATTCTGCTGACGTAGTTCATCACGTATTGTGGAATAAGTATAATAAGCTGATGCACCACCGGCCACTATATAATAACCTTGACCTTCAAATTTTGGATCATGTACAGCTCCGGTACCGGACGATAGTCGCGATATGGTGACATCAGCTTCCACTCCACCGGAGTTGTTAAGAGCGCAGGTGTAAACGGTTCTGTGAAGTTACAAAGAAAAAGTTAAACAGAAACAGAATTGGGCAGCAAAAGTGTCCAGAAACAAACATTCGCTTACTTCTTAATGTCACGTTTGGTGTTTCCTGAAAATATCCAATCGGCTGCTTTTTCGGCTTCTGGGCCTTCCAAAAACAATTTACAAAAATAACTCATATTAAACACAACAGCATTGTTACGGCAAGCAAGCGCCTCTTCGCCTATCTAATGTTTGTTTTTTGTTTTTATTTAATTTTTTTGTTTGAACATTTGTGTTTTATCAACATAACAGCAAGAAACAGCGACAGTAAAAGCGGCAACAATCAACAAACAGTCGCATCCGTACGTACGTATGTATGTATGTATGTATGGGTTAAGCAAACATCGCACATCAAATCAAAGATAACGAAGCAATACAAGCATAAATAGAATTGCTTACCAAATTGTGATGCTCTGAGAAGGTATTATACCGTAGATCTCCCTCTAGCACACGCTCATAAGCGGAATCCTTATGTCTTTTGTTGCCGTAGCTGCCATACCAATCGTATGGTAAAACTAGCGCCTTGTCCGCTAAGAAAAATCCCGGCCTCTCCCAACCTTGCTTCTCTTCCATAAAGGCGTTATTCGCTAACATTTCATCGTGTAAAGGATCCTTTTGAAAATCACGCCCCGCCAATGGTTGATCGTATTTAAAAACCATACTATAATTTTTGGCATAACTTTCATGTGATTTTTCACTAATCCATTGCGTAGCGCGATTTTGTTCTTCCGTAAAACGTCTCAGATCGAAACCAAACATGGGCAAATCCGGTTTACCATTAATTACCCATAATGCGATTTGTTCGCCGCAACCACCACCGAACATCATACCCGCGGAATTGAAACCGCAATTGTGAAAGAGACCAATTATAGCGTTATCGGGGCCCATTAAAGGCTTGTGATCGGGTGTAAAAGATTCCGGACCGCAGACCGTTGATTTGACACCATAATTACCAAACGGTGGACACAATTTTATCGCACCGTTCAAATGAGTATCAAACACTGACCAATCCAAGTCGTAGAGACCGAAGTGAAAGTCTTTAGGAACTGATTGCAGAAGTATTGGATTTGGTTCGTAACCACCTAAACAAATCGCATCGCCTTGTATGCGAAAATAAGTCGAGTAATCATGATCTCGAAGGTTCGGTAAACCTCTAACACCTGGAATTGTCTCAGATACTATGTAAGCATGTTTCATCGGTATTAATGGTAAAAAAGAACCATGCTTTTCTATCAAATCGCGACCCCAAACACCGGTGGCATTGATCACAGTCTCGCATTTAACATTACCGTGTGGTGTTGAAACACCTACTATTTTTTTACCCTTATTTGTTGTTGTAATTAACAAATCATCGACGGGAGTATTTTCGTACGCTTTAGCCCCATATTTGGAAGCTGCACGCGTTAGCGCCGTGCATAGCATGGCCGGATCAACAACGCCATCACCGGGTGAGTAAAGTGCGCCAATAAAAGCTTCGGGATCCAAGAGGGGAAACACTTTTTGCGTTTCTTGTGGGGTTAAAACGTAATTCTCGATACCTAAGGCATTGCCCACAGTGGCCAAACGTTTATATTCATCTAAGCGAGTCTAAAGAGGGCGTATCATGAAAGCGATTAAAAATGGATAACAGATAGTAACGTTAACGCAGCATATTTTACTCATACGTGATAATAATAGAAAAACAGTAACTTAAGGCGAACAATAGGCGAACAGTAAGGTTTTTAAAAGCAGTTTTTCGCTAACTTGGTTAAAGCGAGGATCTGAATGGTCTTAATGTAGATATTTTATAGTATTATCTAGTTATTTGGGGGGTGAATCGGGGTATGGAACGCTCATAGCTGTCATGAGCACACTAATGATAATTTGTGTGACAAATGAAGATATGGTATGAACTCAAACCACACTATGTTGAACATTTACATATAGATCGTGTTAGTCTTCAACAGTTAGGTTAGATAGAGGATAGGATCATAGTCCACAAATAGCATGAATGGGTAGCGCAATCTAGGTGGTTAGGTGGTCATATAAGAAAAATTTAGCATTCCCTTTGTATTCAGCTGCTTGGCAAAATGGCTGAGTACAAAGGTGGAAACTGACTTTCCTCAAGTTCTATGCTTTCCATAGAATTGGGCTTTGTCATATCTATGTGAGTGGCCGAGTAGATAAGGATTCAGCGACTGCCGAGCCAGTCTTCACCGCTTTAAATCCCTGCAACACAGCTACTGTGCTGTGCCACTTCTTATCTCTTCTTTTTCCTTACTACTTGCTGCCCCTTACCTTCCCACATGTGCGATTACCGGAAAATTGTAATATGTTGTTATGTTCAGAAATTAAAGGACTCTTTTTCTCATAAGAACGCTTTGAATATCAATTTACATCGCCTTTTTTAGATTGATAACATGGTCCTAAATATCCCGCAAAAGTTTTACGCCATTCGGTATGTTGGTTTATAGACCATGAAAAGATCGCAAGATGGTAAAAAAGCAGTTGAAAATGGCCCGTACTAGGTCCAGAAAAATCGTCAAATTATCAACAAAATATGATAAAAATAATGATAAAAATATCAAGAAAACAAAGAGTTTTCAGCTCAATTAAATGTGAGAATCCACGTGGATATGGTTGAAATATCGATTGGTACACGTGGTTCACAATTGGTCTCCGTCATGAAGGCTTCACACCACGGCGCGATAGTAAACGGAGTGGGCAGACGAATTCTTGTCGCCTCATCGCCGTATGCAGGCATATATACGGACAGGTCTCCCTCCTCTAAGAACGAGGCATTTGCCTTTTTTTGGGTCAGACAAACGTCTGCAATGCTGCTCTAAGAATAAGTGGAACAACTCGATCAATTTGATCGCCTTTGCCTTCATTCCTTGTTCAACTCAAACCAATTAATTTTTTAAAAAAAAATACCACAAAGTTCTAAGTTCTATATACGCGAAAAGGAGTGGTGACGGGTCAGGTGAGATTGCTTAAGAGGGTGACCCAAACCCTATCTTTCTCTATGGTTTGGTTCAAAAATGGGGTCATACCAGAGAATGTTACAAGGAATGTTATATAAGTCTTCGACTAGTCTTAGTCTATTGTTAATAGATATCCACGTTTGTGGCAAAATTATTTCTGGGTTTTGCTTCCCAATGATCTACTTTCACATGCTGCCATAATAATTTTTCAATTTTTCAAAAAGATTAATCTCCTTTGTATTTCCACAAGCTGCGTATTACCTCGGAGCAATAATCTGTCTTCCCTCGCTCAGAAAGAACGTAAGTTTACGGCGACGTGTTTGGTGTATCGTTGGCTTTCAAGACTAACCAACGTTATGATTGACTGAGATAACTAACTGGATCGGACTTTCAATCCCAATAATAATTCAATAAAGTACATGTTTTTAGCGGCATATCTAGTCGGAATAACTTCGACAATGTACCACACCGTGCAGTGTTAAGCGAATAATGCAAAATTTAAATGACGAGCGAGAATTTCTACGCGTAGGGGTTGTTACTAAACATATGTGAACCTACATTTGAATGCGCTATAAAAATACCGCCATTTTGTATCCAACCTGGATCTAAGCCGGTCTCTTGTTCCAATTGCATGAGCATGTCACGCGAATTCGCTAAGAGCTGTATATCGACGTCATTCGGTCGCAGACGCCATACTAAGCCGGCTGTATGCCAGGTGGTACCAGCTGTTAATTTGGCTCGTTCTAGCAATATAGCTTTAACACCACGCTTAGCCAAATGATATAAGGTGTGACAACCAGCGGAGCCTCCACCTATAACCACAACATCTACCTCGTGAGGCAATTGTATAGGAGATGCAGAAGTAGTACTTAAATTTTGATTAGTCATTGAGCTTTTCTGCTTAACAGCAGTTAGAAGTCGAGATTTTAGACGATTCACGATAGGAATTTTTATATTTTTGCTATTAATGTTGCGCCACATGATTCAAAACCGTATTTAAAGAGTATAAAAGCGAAACTGATGTGGGATAAGTTTTCGTACATGAAAACTGAGTGAAATCAATATGAAAAGGTCGGCTGAACGGTGATAAGCGCTTAAGTAATAGTCCATTATCAATGATTATGAAGAATCGTCTTCGTAGCTTATTATCAAGTTTCTGATTGCGATAAGAACGATGCGTTCAGAGAAGGCTTGCTTTGATTAAACTCAACTTTAGATTTTTAGTTTAAGACATTGAGGCTTGTAAAGCGCTTTTCATTTAACGTTTTTCTTACAATATTTTTTCAGTTTTTCACTTAGTTTCTCTAACTTGCAACTTTATTGGCCGAAAATGATTGAGATAATTACATTGAGTTACGTTTACATAAATCCTTTCAAAATTTATTACGTAAATTGTCAAAACAATATGTTCTCGATCTGTTCAATTGTTTTCTGAAATAATAAACATCTTCATGTTCGGATCGAAAAATTGAAATACGTAACAACGTACAACTACTAACCAAATATCATATAATTTTTCCTCCCTTCTTTCTTTTTATTGCTCTACAACATATGGTTTCTCTGCGTATTTGATTCTCGGCCATTGCTTTAAGTGGCTATGTACCAATAGAAAACATTCCTCTTTTTCAATATATTTATCTATCAATGTGCATACAATTCGTATGTGTCTCCTCCCACATAAACTAAAAATAGTCCTAGAAGAGCATATAAAGCAAAGCAAATTATCATCATCATCATCATCATCATCTAATGTGGACATATGTAACATTATGTTAACAGTAATGAAGAGATCAGAAAAAGAGTGTAAATAGTTCGGAACGCTTCAAATAGGTTCCAGTTCAATGCTATCATTTATCCGTAAAAGTTGTGCCAAAATCAATTTGAAGTGAAAGAAAATGTTTTATTGAATTCTTATCGATCGATAGATATATGTGCCATGTGCTATAATTTATATAGAAAAGCAAGAGAGAATAAATTTATTCAAATTATATTTTTGTAAAACTCAAAAAAAAAAGAAGAAAAATTAAATTTAATCATAATGCCACGACGTAAACGTTATTCTAGTCCTTTTGAATTCATTGATGATGATTTCGATGAGGATAACTGCTCGCAAAGTAAGTGAACTCAAATCGAAAATCGGAAAATTAATCAAAGCGGACACATTCGCGAAATTGTAAAGAGCTTAAAATGATATCCTAACTCGGAATTTAAATTGACGGGTAACGCCACTATAACGTTTTGCACCTTCAATGTCTCGCAACGATGGAGAAAACAGCATAAGCCGCTGAACATAGACACGTTTCTTGATTTAGGGGAACTATTTAACAGCAAGCAAGCTTCAGTTTAACTCACACATTGAACTCTTCATCCAACGCAAAAAGATTATATATGTCATTGGTTAGACCTAGCCTTGAATACCCTTCTACCGTTGCCACGCTGCCATAGACGCTGTTGAATTAGTTCAAAAGCAAAAAGACAGAGGAATTTGCCGTCGGTCTCCCAGCCTTCACTATCAGCTCATGAAAACAAATTACTGTTAATAGATTCATTTCCAATGGAGAATGGAGCGTAGGTGTCTTTTAGGCATCAAATGATGCAATTAACTTTAATGTTCCTGTCCGGATCAATGTGGATCATAGTGTGAAATATTCAATCCCTTGGGAGTAGAATGTAAAAATTTGAACGACATTCGTAATTCATATAAATCATAACAGAACTCTTTACGTTGTTCGGTTCGTGCCCATGGCAATAATGTAAACACTAATTAAGGCATGTATCGTAGTTAACCAATACGGCGCAGAATTAAAGATTACAAGCCTTTCTCTGACTTGTGCTCTCTTAGTGCTCATTTGCATCCTGATGTTGTCGATCTTTAACCTTTGGAGCAGGACGCAGATACACATTTGGTTTGCTTTCACCCACCTTTCATAACAATTCATTTTTCTCTCGTACTAAATAATTTGTATAAGGTAGTAATTAGCTGGCCTTCTCCCTACATGGTCTCTTACCCTAATTGTGGCGAAATGTACAAATTGTAGCCGATTTGAAATGAAATAAATCAAAGTGTATGTAAAGCTATAAAAGAATTCATAACCATATCCAAAAACCTTATTCCAAGCCAACCTAATATCTACTCAAACATCGTCTTCAGAAAACTATGCTTATCTACATACATATATATATTTACGTTTTCGAAGACGCTTCTAAATACAGATAAACATTTTGGAAAGACTTTCGTTACTGTATTAGAGGCGAGAGAAAAGAAGAAGCAAGATATTAGGCTGCAACTTTCCCAGCATAGGTAAAAAATGATTGGCGGGTAATCGGTTTTATTCGCGTATATTCAAAGTATCTGTTAAACCAATTAAAAACAAAAACATTTTCTGGAAAATGTGCTGCGATGTCATCTCTTAAGGCTAAGAAAAGTTGACTTGGAAACGCATATTACACTATATAGGATATGGATAACTACTAAACTAAATAAGAAAATTATATTCGGCCACGACCGAGTGAAACCTCTTTCTCGGTGTGGCGGACATTTTAATAAAAGAATGAAATTTTGGTATACTATAAAATTGAGTAGGAGTGCCCGATCTTTGTACAGGTGCTACAGCCTCACCCATATATGTATATAACGTTGTATCGGTTGTGGTTTATAAGTAAGCAGCAAAAAGCCGTCCGTGCAAAGCCTTTCGCTCTCTCTATCTGATTTGAAGCTGATTTGCGCACTTTTGCGACCAGGCGGATATTTACCACAGACAGACAGATAGACGGACAGACGAACACGCTTAAATCGATGTAAGATTTGATGGGGTCTGCGAGGCTTCCTTCCGGATGTTGCAAACGTTTTGATAAAATCAATGTACTACTCATCGTTCAGCGATAGGTATAAAAAAATACAACATGAGTTGTCATACATTCACTCTTTCCTATATGAACAGATCTAAAGGTTTGCGTATAAATCAGAAAAGTAAAATTTGTGGCACACGTCAATCATTCTTTGTGATTTTTCTTAGGACTATAAAACTGTTAGGGTTTTATATGACATAACAGAAACATTACTAAAGAAGGAGAAAAAAAGAAAAGATATTGACTTAAATCACCTTCACGCGTATCGATTAATATGACAAAGTTTGCTGTTACGAAAGGAAATGTTATAAATATTTGTGATTTATTCCCAGCTCAGAAGCTCAGTCACAAAAATATGATTCAAAAGAAGTCTCGTTGTTTTCTTCTGTCTATCTGTTCCGTTGCTTGCTATTGATTATTATAAACGTTTCACGATGGTAAAATAGTTTTGGAATTTTCCTGTAACACTTGGAAAAACTCGTCAGGGATCATACATTTGAAAATAATCGAATCAATCTGCAATCACTCTCCCACCTATAAACACTTCGCCACTTGTCGGAGCTATGATTCCTTGCAAAAGTCGGTCTAAAAGAGAGAATTTTGAAATACATCAAAGATGGACTTAATACATCCCTAAATATGTCTTATCCATGTTGGAAAGCTAAACAGGAAATCATAAAAAAAAGCGAAAATATAAGAAATTCAGTTACTTTCGTTGATGTTCACATAATCCAGCTTTCAACACAAGGCTTCTACTGCTACTGGTTCTCAGAATGTTACTTTGTATTATAGAACTGAAGTACACTTTCAATAGTAGACTCTTAGGATGGGTGCCTGAGAGCTCGCACTGCCTTAATAAGGAATAATTCGACGTTACTTAGTCGGCTTCCTTGTTACATCAATTTTCCGGCCAACAAATTGTTGTTGTGTACCGTTTTATGCTCCTTTGGAGGAGCACTGAGCTGTTTCTTCGAAAAAATAGATGACCATTCGATTGAAAGTGCTTCGAGAAAGAACAAGTTTTGTTGACAAGCTTGCAACCCTGTCGTCAACCGATGTTTGTCTGCAAGGATCATACGCATGGATCCATGATTCGTCCCTCGACTCGAATATTTTTTTGAAATTTTATCAAACTATTTAGGATCGGGCGGGAGCGGGAGAATGAATGTTTAATGAACAAACAATCATGCATCATTAATTAGTTTAGGTGTGCCGCTGAAACTATTCTTATTATTAGTTTAGCCAGAGAAATAAAGTCTAAGATTAACGTCTTAAAGTGTTAGCATCTGAGGCTTTCGACTTTATAGAAAATTCTACCGCGCTTGAGTGATGTGAACCCACGACTATCGAGTTGTTAGCCGGGATTCTTTACCTTAGGTCGCTAAGGTGCCATCAATTTCACAGTATGTCATATGTCGATCTTTGCATTGCCGTACTATTTTTGCATAACATCGACACGTGATATTTGACAATGTTTCCGACTCTCAACGGTGACCAAACGGCGCATGCGATCAACATTCTTATACCATATACGCTTCGCAATAGCCAAGGACGGAGTTTCACCACCAAAAGTGCAACCAAATTGATCGATGATCGATTATTGTTTCGCTAATCGAAAGGTCGAAAGGATAAAAGTCGTAACAAATTAATTCATGAAAATTATCATAGATTAAGTTCAACTTTTTTTTTTCGTTGAGCCAACACTTGATACTTGCATTCTACACCTTTGATTCCCCTAACTAGGTTTGATATTTGCTTGATGTCGGTATCAATTCGCGGCGTTTGCTTTTCATGCCTAGTTTTTGCCAGCCTTGCGGAAACACTCTTTATACGCTATTTCTACATTCTTTTTAGTGCTTCAGAGTGATCCCAAACATGGACGATGGGACTATGTGCAAGAGAAGTTTTAACAATTTTCGGCCATGTTGCACTAGGCGTTAGGGCAGCTCGTATAATAATAACAAATAAGAAATCCGGGCTTGCCTGGTGCCAAATTTTAAATATTTTATAGATCCCAGCTTATCTTAGCTTATACAAGTTTCATAAAATGTTTTCATAACCTCATCGAAATACTTGTGTAATGGATTTCAAGTCGCCCTTTGCTATTAAAATAACGGAAAGCTTAAGTCTTCGATGATAGATAAGAGGATTATTTCTGCGCTGACCCATTGTATTATGTACGGAGTAATCTGTTGATATATTTGCATTTAGTTGCAAGTTTCTGTTACTGTTTTGTTTGGCCCTTTCAAAATTCGATTGTATTTTTATCTTGGTCTCTTTCGACGTTGGAAAGTTGTCAAAATTTATCCTTCAATCGTGCAAAAAGTGCAAGATCGTTTACAAATTCATTTCTTCTTTTGTATCAATGCACTATTTATGGTCTCCACCATTTGTGCTGCAAAGTATATTCAGTTTAAGCGGATGGATGTGTAACAATCAGAATTACTTAACATAAACTGATCAAATCAGAATCGGTGTTTAAATCAATTAATGGTTGTCTGGTTGTTCGCCTGACCGTCCACAGACATGTACAAGCAATAACTGGATATATAGGTTGATATTCTGTTCATATTTTAACCTAATGACGAAAGCTCTTAAAATTGGATTGGATTGGACCATTGTTACGACCACACTCTACTAAATATTACACTGATTTGAAAAATTTAGGATAGTACGGATCTAATTCTTTGAACCACATCCGCTTCCATAAAAGGAATAAGTTTATATGGAGGGCACAAATCTTCGTATTTCGACGACCATAAAGCTTTTACTCATCGCTTTGAACACTCACCAGCTAAAATTTTTAAACTCATTTCTATTCTTACTCGAGGCAAGTGGCGTTTGTTCACGTGAAAGAAGACACTTCAAGAGAAAATACTAAGTTCGTTAGCTTTATTGCACTAAATATAAAGGACTTTGGTCCAACTGCCAATAATTTTGAAAAATTTGATCAAACATTATTGTGATTTCAAATGTGACCTCAGCTATAGTTTAGACACTGAGTGCTTTCAAAGTGTTACATACCACGACACCAACACGCTTAACTGCCATTAGTATGTTTTTGGATTTTTGTCGCTCCCTGATTGTACTATTCCCTCTGGTCTTACATCAACTTGCACTGTGAGGTCTTAACGAAATCAATTATGAAAGATTTAGGATATAAGTTGTGAGCCAATGTACTGACCGCAAAGTTTTCACCATTAATCAATGCATTTTGGTGGAATCAAGCCAGGCGTTTTACACAGCCTTCTCTATTCACATTTTGCTTCAGTGATCTGCACAAACGTCCATGTGGACCGCATTCAACTTCGGTTAATTGGAAATTGCAAGAAAAAAGTTCAGCAGTTATCCAACTCTAAGCTATATTCATTGATCTACGATTACATGTCCGTGAAATGATTATGAGTAGTCTATGACTATATGTATTTGAAAACCTTCCTCTCAGCAGCGTATCGGCAGTTCGAGACCATATGATACAGTTAAGCGATCAAACTGCATAACATAGAGTTATATATACATATATATAAATTCACATTTACTTCAATTCAGTTGAAGCATGGTCGCCTCTCAAGCTAAGCCTCTCTTAACTCTCTTTACATATATGCTGAAGTAGATGAACTTGGGCGTTCGGACTATATATAAAATACTTTTTCTAACTTACGGAGCCGATTTATGATTATCAAATAAACTCGATAACAATAGACTTTGGATTCGCTATAACGAATAGCGAGTTTACTGTCGAGCTGTCGACAAAGTATCCATTTTTCTCGATGTCAAAGCAAAAATCTTTCGGTTGCTCGCGAAAAGTATAATCGACTTCACTCGGCATCAAGAGCTATAAGCCGGCCCCACGATCTTCTTGTACAAAATCTCGGTTTTTTCAAACGAACTTTTATTTTTTTGGTCAGCAAATTTGTACTCTACACCTACGTTAGGATACAAAAAGTAAAATGGCTCTGTTGCCTAGATATGTGTCATCTTGAGCAAACTCTATCTACACATGATGATTAGGAAGTCTGAGTAAAATCGATTTTCTACATATGATTCTCTTCAGGTTCTCGACATGGATATCCACCGGTGCAACGTAATGCGGCCAATGCTCGGGAAAGGGCACGCATGCGTGTACTTTCAAGTGCTTTTGGCCGTTTAAAAACGAAACTTCCAAACATTCCACCCGATACAAAGCTTTCAAAATTGGATACATTACGTTTGGCAACGATGTACATAAAACAATTAAAAGCCGTAGTCGAAGGCGGTGATAATGCAAATCTAAATGGTGATCATATTAATGGAGCAATAAATAGAAATGCAAATGGTTTTCTCGGTTCACATCACACCACCACCCAAAGTATGGTATGTATATGTATGTGCATCTAAGTATAAGCAACAAACACGAAAGTAATGCTAAGTGATGTCAAAGACACCACTTAACTACGTAACTGTGTTTTACGGGGTGGAGGAAAAACGATCATATTCTATATGACTCTAGCACAGGAGTCTGCGTTTTCTCAAAAAATACATTTAGATGTCATTGAAATCTAAGGAATTTGCTATACTTTAGTGCTATAAGCTAATCCTTAACTTTACGTATATTTGTCGAACAATGCGTTTATTTGTTTTATGCCATAAACACTCTCCTACCCTTATACATATATATATACCTAATGGCATATTTTCTATATTTATTACATGGGTAGACATTTTCCAAATTTTTGGGTTTGGAAAGAAATGAAAAAAAAAATGAAATGAAATTAATCTCCGCACATCTTTTCCTGTAAGTCAATACTTTTGTGTGAATTCTTCCAAATTTAATACCTAAAGCGCCTAAACATCACAAGTTATGACATATAATTTCGATGGTGAAATTCTAAAAATATCGAACAAATTTCGCATTTCACTGTAAACACAACGTAACATATTTTGCTTTTAGATTTTATACAAAAGTCTTTAACTAACTACTGAGCTGGAAAAAAAAAAAAACTTTGTCCAAAGCAATGTGACAAGTATCAACGTTGCAATCGGATTTTTGAAAAAAAAAAAAACGGACCAAAAAGAGCCGTAGTCGCCTTAAGCACTTCTCCAGTCGCCTGCCCCTTATAATAATAGGTTAACCTTTATTGATCAAAATTTCACATTACTTTCGTATGCAACTCGAATGCCTTTCACAACTCGAATGCCTTTCGATAGCTTAAGGTGGTAATATTTTTTTTGTGAAAATTCATTTTTCCTAAAGGAGACGCACGGGCGTAAGTATCTGCGAGATTTACTTCGCTTCAAACGGAATGTCGAGATTGCTATACCATCGTCATCGTGTAGAGTCGAACACGAAAATATAATGCTCTTGACAGCCTCGGCTGTCTGAACTGTGTATTATTCTAGCAGCACATACAAATTTGTCGCCGTTTTGATGACACTCTTCAAATTATTATTTATTTTTTCATCTTAAGGTAAACAGCGTCTTTTGACATGTTATTCTAAATCTGAATGCAAACAAATTAATTCCTTTGCATACGCATATGTAGGGCATTTTGTTCACTTTATCCGTTGCCTGTGTAATAAGTGCAAGAGAAGTTTTTATATCCCCTTCCAAACCAGGAAGTTATATTAACTTTGTCATTCCATTGACACTCTCAAAACTACGCCTCGAACCTCCCGTAACGTAGGCATAAGTTCTTATCAGGGCAAAAAGGAAAGAATAGATAGATAAATAATCCTCTTTTTTGTCACTTTCCAAAGATGAACAATGATATGGTGAGATTACTAATGGGAACCCTTTTCTACACAAGTCATACCCGGCATCAAATCTCATTTAGGGCATCAGATTGTTTGCAATTGCAGAGCCGCCAGAAGCTTGCATAGGAATACTCGGCATAGTTTGTCTACATCGGCAAGCGACATGAGAATGCTCTATAAAAGCTTCGGAAATCGTTGTGTGTTCTGTGACAGAAAAGGCGGTTAACATATGCTTTTTCTGCGCAAGGCCTCTCTACAGAGTCATGGCTAAGAAAATCCTCATCAGCCTACTTGCGGCGCCTTACTTACCTTTACTGCCTTACCTAGTCAGGTTACTTAGATTGTCGGCTATCATGATCACAGTGGGAAGCGCATTAATTTCATTGCCCTTTTATAAGACGCAACTCCTTCCCTTCGATGATGAATGATTAGCTTTTCTTTTAGTGTTAAATGTCCCGACAGACTAAAAAGGCAGATAAGAATGAATACATTTTTTTTTTTTAGAGTATGTCCGCTTGAAAAAAATATAATTGTTTTTGCAAGTGCCTTAAAGGCCGCATTTGAAAGCTAAAGAGATAAAGAGTCACATTTACCACTGTCCGATGTAAACGATAAATGAAAAACAAGCAAATCCGTAAATAAACAAGAAACAAAATTATAGTCGGTTGTAATCGAATCTTTTATATCTGCCACACCTCTACCTAAAAAGAACAAAACGAAGAAAACGAGTAAGAAAATTATATTTTGTCGCATCGAATCCTTTATACCCATCGCCGTTATCCTCAATAACACTAAAATAAAGGAAAAAACTACATTTTCTTACCCTATATATTGGATGGGCGCGGCTGATTTTTTATCATTTTTGCAGAATAAAAGCGAAAATTTGTGCACAGATGCTGACAGTTTTGTTTACATAGGCCTGTGGGCGCTGTAGGCGGGTCGTTTAACCCGTTTGGGTCGTTTTGAAATTCTTTGCAAATTTGTCGGCATTATCATCATTTTTGCGAACAAGAAACTCTACATAGTTGGACAGACGGACAGACGCAATGCTTGCGTGCCTCCAGGAACTGGCCAAGAATTTGTATACTTTACGGAGCTTTTGAAGCTGCTTCTGCGCCGTATAAAAGTATTGAAAAAAAATGATAATTTTGATACCCTATAATATTGGGTAGGCGGGGTCAATTTTTTGGCATTTTTGTACACGTATTCATCCATAGAAGATACACTCACATTTTTATATCTTCATCTGCAGTAGTTGCAATGAGCGAAAAACTCAGATGTTGAAAGAGACAGACATGTTCTCCACGTGGTACTGTAGGCTGAATTGGCCCATTTTCAACAGCAACCCACGTGCAAGAACTTCCAAAGTTTTTGCCAAATTTAAAGTCGATAGCTTCATTTCATGTTTGCAGCCGACATTACGCAAATGGAAAGAAGGGCATGCGTTCATAATTTGATGCTGATCAAGAGTATAATTACTGTGGAAGATCTCTGAAGATTCTTTCTGGGTGTTGCAAACGTTGTCATGCCCGTCATCTTTCGGTGATGGGTATAAAAGTGATGTTTGCCATTCTACGATATTGGGTGGGTGCGACCGCCTTTTCTCCTTGTATCTGCTTTGGTTTACAAATAATGCGTAAAAAATCCTTTCCAGTTCTTTTAAAAACAGAGGGTTTCTCCACTTATTTTGTACTAAAGGCGTGGCTTAGCACCAATTGGCCGCATTTTGATTATCAACTTATATGCAAAAACTTGAAATGGTCAGAACCATAAATAGACGAATTCGCTTGGATCGGTTCAGAATTTTATATTGACCAAGAATATATATACTTTGCGGTGTGTCGGGGTGTTGCAAAGGCTTTGACGACACGAATATACCCCGTGCATTTGGAGAAGATAGAAATTTTTCCGATTCCATCTAAATTCACCGCAATTACGTATCGGATATCACACAATAACAATGCTTGAAGATGACGTTGATTTACCTAACAGTACTTCCGCAGTCATTTAAAAGTTGAAAAAAAAATGAAGAAAATGATAATTATCAATATTGTTAGTAATAAGTTAATCTGTGACGAAAGTACCGGTTTGTAGACATAAAATAGAGACATCTCCATGTTCGATCTCAATATAATTCATATTTTCCAATTGACACAGCCATTGTTAAAGCGTAAAAGCTTTATCATATAAGCACCTCAGAATCTAAATATATGATGCATATCCACATATATATATATTATATCTTTCTCTTTCCTCGCTTCCTGGTCATATTTATACAAAAAAAAAAAAGTAAAAATAAAAAGAAAATACACCACCCGACCAAGTTGCCTTTCCTACTGGTTCCTCTTGCATTTTAGGAGAGTCTAAGTTCCAACATGTTTCTTCGATCGCTCTTGATAAACAAATCTTAACCAAGATCGGTGGTACTTAAGCGCACTTCCCACTGCATAATATTCTCTTTAGCAATGTTAACTTTATTTGCTCCGTCTTCTAGTTTTTACAATTTTTCCAACATTTTTTTGCTCTCGACAATTTTTTTATACCCATCACCGGAAGATGAGGGCTATATTCATTTCGTCAAAACGTTTGCAAACGCCAAGAAGGAATCGTTAGAGACCCCAAATAGTATATTAGTATTCTTGATCAGCATCAAATTCTAAATCGATTTATGCATGTCCATCTGTCTGTCCGTCTGCGTAATGTCTGTTGTAAACAATCTCTTGGCCGCCAAAAAGGAACCTATCGACTTCAAATTTAGCAGAAACATTGACAGTTCTTGCACGCAGCCAGGTATTGAAATTGAGCTAAATCGATCGAAGGACAGGCCAAGAGCACTACGTAAACTGAGAACGTCTCTATTTTTCAAAAAGAATAAAAAATTGATTTTTACCATAGCAGACAAATGCACGAACATTTGAATGCATATTGTTTGGGCGATGCTGTAGCACATGTACAAAAATGGAGAAAATTGACCACGCTTAGCTAATATCATAGAGTATCGAAAGTTCTTTTTTTTTCAACACCTTTATAGCGCACAGAAGAAAGCTTCAAAAACTCCATAAAGTATGTAAATTCGTAGGCGGTTTCAAATTTGGCCTGCACGTGTCTATCTGTTTGCCTGCCCATCTATCTGTCTGCGAAACTGCACAGTGTGTTACGAGCATTCTCCCGTTAGCGAAATTTGCACAAATATATGGAAGTTTTCCGATCACACGCCTATAACGCCCACATGCCTATACGACAATAACTTTTATTTTGCAAATATAAAAAAATCATTCACACCCACTCGGTATTAAATGACCATGAAAATGCAGTTCTTTTACTCTTTCTAGCTTTTTTTGGGATAACGGTGACCGGTACGCAAGACTAGGTCGCGATCGAATATAATTTTCTTTCTTCTAATTTTCCCATTTCCATTGTTTGCTCATACCTAACTCGCTTAGGTGAACATTTATATGTTTCTGCCTTTTCTCACTACACATTGTTATGAAAAATTTACTTGAGAGATCCTTGTCTCTAAAGGAAGAGACTCAGCGACGGCTATCCGTTAACTGCAAATATTTTCTTTTGCATCTAAACCAATCTTATCAGTTTTATCGATAAGGTGTGAGGATTCTAAGCAATTTCCCTTGCTTCCCGCATTTTATATAGAATTGTGTTAAAATAAACACTTCATTAATTCATTTTCTCAAAGACCATATGGGCACAACCACAATAAACACATATTGTTTGGTTGATACATTGCTTAGGCTGTGAAAAATACCACAACGCTGTAAAACGAAGACATAAAACGCCTAAGTAGACAAGCGGATATAAACATACACATACACACACATACTCACACGCTGTTCACACGTACGTATGTGCGCTTAGTTTACGATGATAGGGTGTAATTAGCATGCGGCGGTTATTAAATGTAATGTGTAGGGAAATAAAAAAGCAAAAAGAAGAAGGCTTGAGATGAATGAATCTTCTTAACATATGAAAAACATCACATTTTCTTGTTTGAATCGCACAAATATTTGCAGTGAAAGTTTCCAAACTTTGATTTTTTGTTCCAAATTGCACTAGTTTTTTGGAATGTGTGCGTCGGTGTTTGCCGCCGATTTCTCCCTTAGCTTCGACTTTTCATTTCATTTTTCACGAGAAATGTGTACTCTATACATCTATTCTCCGGCAACGGAAACCCTATATTGAAGAAGTTGTCACGAGCGCGAGGAATCGTCTACTCGCAGACCACTCTACTAAGCATTGAACTACAACTTTTTTGCGATCCAAGAAGTAGGGAACAGTTCTGCGAGTTATTGAGACAGCCAAAGATGTAATAGATTGAGTTGGGGTCTGACTATGCTGAGTTTATATCTACCGCTTATACTTTAAAATCCATGCGGTAATACGTTGGTTAGCGATCCAAGGAGTATTGATAATTCGAATGCAAGAATTGCCATAGTAATGACACGAGTAATGCCGATAATCGTTTTTCTTCTTCTTCCTCATCTTCTTCTGGGATTCAGAAAATCAAGAACAGATGGCTTGCTAAGTGGCCCATAATCCTAATTCATTACAGACAACACAACTCACAATCGAATACGAATAAGTCAACCGTAAATCATATATGCTTTGAAGAACGCGACTAGGAATGCCTAAAAAAGAACGATAGCGTTGCGAATACTTTGCTTAAACCAGCGTATCAAACCTGACTCTTGCGTGCGGGGCGCTTCGGGAAGTACTTCCTCAGAGGTACTATAATTAGAGGTGCAGATAGGCTCCGCTTCTTCGCCCAGAGGAGTGCGTACGGACCATGCACAAACTTTCATCCCTTGCACTCCAGCCTTAGATTAGGCCCTCTCCGTTAGGCCCTATCAGATTAGCTGGCAAACTAGGTGGCGCCGATAATCGCACGTTCATTACCTTGTAAATTTTTGGGTTTCGCCTGACAAGCCATTATGGCAAGAGCAGACCCTAAACATCGACGACGAATACCCCACACACCTTTTTCCGGTTACAACACGAATGATAGAATAAACATATCTACAATATGCGATGGTAGATATAAAAATAACATAGAATATGATGAATTCCTTTTGTTCCAAATGGACTATCAACGCGCCACAACTTCGCATGACTGAACGCAATTAGATTTTAAAACGTATGACGTAAACACTTCGACAAGAGTGGTTATGGCAAAAGATAAACAAATCTATCATAGTAAAATTATAAACAAAAAAAAAAATAATAAAATTTATGCATGTACGTATCTATTTACTTACAGAGTTGGCCCTTTGGTTTTTATCATCATCATCTTCAGCATCATCATCAGCAAGAAGAACAGCAACAACAACAACAACAACAAGAGAATAACAATTTGCAAAATAATATCAACTTAAATACCTCTTCAATTATATCTTCATCCGTTAGTGATAGCTGGTCCCGAGATGTGGAAAACTTTAAATCGAGACAAATCCGTTTAGGGAATGAAAGTTATATAACTCATTTACAACCAAATCATCAAAACCATGATTATAGTTGGCATTCGGAGAACTCATCTCCGAGTCACTTACATCTGTCACATTCTCATGAGCCCGCTTATCAATTCTGTCATTTAAATCATCCCGAAACACATTCCTTGCGCAATTATGAGCAGCATGGAAGCAGTGATCAAAACTTACGAGCATTTACAAATTATAATAATTTAACTGATACTAGATAGTACTTAAAAAAACTAAGAATAAATTTATTGTATTATGTATCCTTAGCGGGCGAAGTTGCGTTTAATTTTCAAAGAGCAACGGCTTTCTTCTTATATTGAACTATATTTGAAAGCCTGTTCAAGGTATGCGTTTGTTTTATTAAACGGTGCGTACGGTGAAGTTTATCTGGCATATTTCAACAAAATACAACATCAAGTCCAGTACACCCAAATCTTTTTTACACGACCCCTGGTTTTGAAATAACACGGTTCACCAATGAGAGCAAATATACTTTTTTACACGAATTTTTTGTTCTAGTCCTAATCCAAAAAAAAAGAAAAATTTTTTGTAATTCGAATTTCGAACAAGTCTCACGGAAACTTATGGACATAGCAATAAAATACAATTAAGGGTAGGGGTTATTCTATTTTTTTATATGGTAGGAAAATATGCACAAAATCCTGCCAATGTCTTTTTAATTGTCTTTATGCCATAAGGACATTGAGCGGCGTACATATGTAGACGGAAGTGCTACGAAACTCATACACGTACGACGTTTCTCATGTGACAAAATTCTTTAAAATTAATTCCCAGAATCCCACGTGCGCTGATTCTTGCAGTAAAATGTTGAAGGCTTTTATGCAGCTTTAGCAAGTTTTTCATGTGGTCAGTGAAATAGATACATCCTTTCTGAATTTGTGAAAGGCAAAGTGTGTGAACCGCAAAGATGGATTTCAAAGGTAAATCGTATTTTTGAGATGAAAATGCAATATGAGAGATAACGTCTATAGTAATATTAAGTTGGCCGATCTCACCATTATAGCCAAGAAGGAGGATGAATAAGTCATCAGTCTTGAAATCAGGGAAAATCGTACAAATTTATAGCCGTAGCGCTTTAGATCCACGAAAAAATTGTTGAGAGATGCGGAGCATTAGAAAATACTTCTCCTGCTTCCGATAACCGCATTGCAATTTTAGCTAAGCTGAGGACCCTGAGCAATTTCCAACGAAATTGGAAATGTTGTATCGCCGCAGACGGTTCGTCGATGTTTCAGATGCCAATCTACCACGAAGAATAGCTCGTCGAGTTTTCTTGCTCAGAAAAGCTAATTTTGAGAAGATGAAAAACATCGCTTTAGTGCATAAAAATTGGTGCAAACCAAACAACAAGGAGAAGGAAAAAAATGTACTTTGGAACAGCGGGATAAAATAAAAAAAAAAATAAAAATATGCTTGGAAATGATCCGGGAAGAAGTGTACCTCGGCCAATAGGAAAAGGAGAGTGAAGCATGGCGGAGGAAATGTAATAGCATATGGCCGTTTTCCTGGGGAGAGTAACGGCTCTCAAGCTTCCGAGCGCAAGCCTGTCGCAAATGCTTGAGGGAACTAAATCGATATTTTTGACTTTCCTTTATATAAAATAACATCTCTTCATTTAATAATATTGATTTACTCGGGGTACACCGATGCTAATCATGGAGCGCTCAAAACTGCATTTTCGACCTTCATAACTTTTGTTGTTTGATTTGAAGAAATCTGTTGCCGAAAACCATCAAACACGTTCAGAAGCTTAAGGTGACGGTGCTTCATCATATCCCAATTGGCAATTTTGGTTGCAGCGATTTAAAAGTTATGGTTTTGATGACAATGACGAAAACGGCCTCCAAGAACATGAAAATCACATTTGACCAATTCTTGCAAGAGTTTCCCCGGGGTATAGACTTGCAGATCGAATGAGAAGTTTTGTCATACCCAGCATAGTCAACAGACATGGCGGGTTTTTCATGATTATCGCTTGTTTGGATCGATGCAGCATAGCTTGGGTGACACGCGGGTAGGCAAAGTTGAAGAAGTGCGAAAATGAAGTGCTGCGGTTGGTGAATCGCAGCCAAACCATTATAAGTTCTTTCGGAATGATATCGCCATGTTGCTAAGAATATTGGCAAATGTTATAGAAAATAAGGGAAACTATTTCCATTAATGTACATTGTACCAATTTTCCACAATAAAGGGTTTTTTTAAGTGAAGAAATAGCTGAAATACATGCAACCTCCTAGTATAATAAGAGGAAAATGGAATCAAATACCCACCGTCAACATACACCTATTATTCTGTTCTTACGCCTACCACTAAATGGGTGTGTTAGATTGCTTAATTAAATTAGAAATTACTTGACGTAATGTAACACGTTCTTTATGACTGGCCATACACCCTACATGTGGAATCTGGTAGCAGTTGTACCAATTCATAAGTCAAAAAATGTCTCCATCGCAACGGAATATCGCCCAATCTCTGGTTTATCTTGCCTCTCAAAAGTATTAGGAAAGATTATGACATCTAGATTATCTTGGTTTCTTCAGTACAAGAACCTGATTACAAAGCAACAAGTTGGTTTCAACCGAGGTAGAGGGTGCATACACGCTCTTTTAAATATTGATTACTTCACAACCAAAGAAATTTCCGAATGCAAACATGTAACAATTCTCTCCATTGATTTCGAAAAAGCATTTGACAGAGTTAGTCTGAATGTTGCACCCATATTCTTCAACTACATCAAATCATTCATGTCGCATCGGCGGTTCAATGTTAGAATCACCAATCATGTCTCTGATTCCTGTCCGCTAATGAATGGCATTCCGCAAGGATCTTCTCTTTCTGTCACGCTTTTCCAGATCGCTTTCAACGAAATTAGCAAAATTCTTTGCCGTGTACCGAGACTCGAACATTGTCTCTACGCGGACGATGTATACATTTTTACAAAAGAAAAAAATAGCAAAGAAAAGAAAGCCATCAACATCCTTGAATCTATTGGACGTGAGATTTCCACATGAGCAAACTCGTCAGGGACTAAAATTTCTATGAAAAAATCAAAAAAAATGCACATTTGTCGAAAGTAGATATCCAATGCCGGAAATCTACTGATGCTTATTAATGACTTACCAGTACAAAACGTGCAGACGCTCCATATTCTCGGGCTCATGTTTTACAACAAATATCGTTGGAAAACACACTGTCTTCGGTTAAAAAATTCTATTTTAACATGGATGAATTTCATGCAGCACGTTGCTTGGAAAAGTCATGCGTACATTAACACTATTGCTTATCTTACCAAAATGCTTGTTTTAAGCAAGATAGTCTATCAAATTCTCAAATCGGTCTATCACCAAGCAGCCAGAGCATGTTGTTATGCTTTTCGGACGACGATAAATAATATTATAATTGAAACTGGTCTTCCAGCTTTAGAAAATAGACCATCTGCAATTGACTATTGTTTGTACGTCGCAAAAGAATTGAACATTCCTTTAAAAGTTTTCCGCTATTTTGGTGTTAAACCTCCACGGATTTTGAAAGACAGCTCTTTTGACATTTCGCTGTCTATGCACAAGAAAGAAAATACACCAAATTATGTCTTCAGGAATCTAATAGCTGAAAAAACCCAAATATTGGAAAGCACTGGTTGGAATCTTTTATACACAGACGGCTCAAAATCTTCTGGTCTGCCTCCTGCTTGTGTCGTGGTTGATGCAACAGGACGAGTTCTTCTCAACCACGTATTTCATGAAAGTACTTCAACTTTCAAAACCGAAGCCAGAGCTATCCTTCACGCTGCGAACCTTGCCTATAAAAACAAACTCAAAACTGTCATTGTTACCGACAGTTTGTCTGTATTACATGCTATTCGGAATCCTTCGACTTCGAGATGGAAAACCATCAACAAATTAAGGAATATAATTACAAAACCTGAGGGAAAAATTAAAATGTTATGGGTACCAAGTCACATCGGTTTATTGGGAAATGAGCAGGGTGATCGAGCGGCAAAGGATGCTACTTCTGCTCCTCTAATTATGGATGATGTCGTGGAAAAGTTGGATCTTCAAAGATACATTGGAAGAAAAGTTAAAGAGAAAATTGCAGAAGAAAATTTACTGTACCATCATCAACACTACTCTTCCATTAACCCTCAAGTAACTCCACCTTTATATCCAACTAATGTTGAGAGAATGAAGATCCAAACATTTGCGAGAATTCGAATTGGTCATACAATTGCAACTCACCAAAGGATCTGGAAGAACTCTTCTTCCCCAATCTGCAGTTGTGGACAAACTCTCACCATAAAGCACATTCTCTGCGTTTGCCTTAACTTTTGCTTGGCTAAAAGTATTGCATTTGGAACGATTAACCCTTTGGACATTCTACAATCAGCTTCAGAACAGAACATCAATTCTATACATTACTTTATTAATACTACTAAGCTCATTATCTAATGTACATTTATTTAAATTAAAGCCGATAGCCTGTGTTGCTAGTGCTCAATGTCTTTTTTTAGTCTAAGAATTTACTTCATTAGTCTAAAATTATAATAATAATAATAGTAATAATAAATTAAATCAAAATGAAATGAAAAGCATGCATAACTACATTTGCTTGAAAATGTTTAGAACAAAAAAACCATGTAAAGGAGATAATAGTCATACCCTCAAGCCAACTATAAGCCCAAGTGGTTAGTTCTGGAAAATATTTGTCGATCAAATGGTTGCCTCACTATAAGGTCTTTACTTGTTTTTATTTTCTCAGAGTTGGTTGAGA